CATGTGAAGAAACAGTCAGCCACTTGTAGATCAGGAGAAAACAACACAGAAGAATTTCAGGGCGTGTGTTTAAGGTAGTAAAAAAGACCAGAGAGTGGCTTGAAAGTTGTGGAATTAGAAAAAGTATGAGCTGTGAAGATAAAGGGATAGGCAGGTCAGTCATGCAATTTTGGAATCAAGCCTTTAAAGCATTGAATTTTTACTGTAAGTTTAGTGGGGCAATTGCTGAATTAACAAGAGGGGCTGTATTATGACTTTGGTAAGATGACTGAACAAAAAATATGAGGTGATTTTGGATAACCAGCATTTGAGATCCAGTAATTTTTAAACTCCACTCAAAGGGTCATTATTAAAAGTACCCTTCAAAATGGTATCTGATAGTTTGAGAATCTTTGGTATACTAGAGGGCATCTGTCAGTTGTTTACAGGCAGGTGGTAAGGTTCAGCAATCAGTCAAGGGATCTTGATTATTTATAAAGATCAGTTAAAAACTCCCTGGTGGCACAGTGGGTTAAAGCACAGCACTGAGAAGCTAAAGCCACTTCAGCCTGCCCCAGAGGTGACCACATGGCGCAGACCTCTCTTGACCAGTCCGATGCTCCCCTCAGCTGTGTACTAAGTCAGTCAACCTGTTCTGCTCCCCACTCTGTCTCTGGTAAATCCTCTCAATGCCCCTGCACCTCTGGCCTATACCCCAGTTCTGTATGCATAAATAAATAAATCTTTTTTTAAAAATTAAAACAAAAACATCTTCAAGACAGACACTTATACAGACTTTCTCTCCTTTCAGGAAACAGGTTTCAGCCACTAAAGCCGAAGCAGAAAAGGATGGAGTAAAGGTCCCCACAACCCTGGCAGAATATTGCATCAAAACTAAAGTGCCTTCCAATGATAACAGCTCAGATTTGCTTTATGACGACCTGTACGACGACGACATTGATGATGAAGATGAGGAGGAAGAAGATGCCGACTGTTATGATGATGATGATTCTGGGAATGAGGAGTCGTGACGTGCTCCTTCAACGCCCCTATACTGCCCTGCCGACTCAGGCCAAAGGGAGGGGAGCAAGTGGGGACCTAGCAGTGGCCCCTCAGCAAAAACCTATAATGGGGTGGGGTAAACAAACACGGCTCCTGCTGACTCCCCTTATGGATCTCAGTTTGCTCCTTTTTATGGACCTCTAAATGGAGAGAAAGTAACCCTCCACAGAATGTCTGAATTCTTGCATTCTTTACCCTTCCATCACTGTATTGATTCTTTTTTTTCTTTCTTTCTTTCTTTCTTTCAACCCAATCTCCAGTCTTACTTCGTCTCTACAAAGTGTTCACAACAACACACGTTTGGTCTGTTTTTAGATTCTTGAAGAATTAAATAGTCTTTCATTAAGACGTTTAATTGTGTGTAAAGCTGGGAACCCATTGGGAGTTCACAAGTGCTGCATATGCTGGGTAGCAAAAAAAAAAAGGGGGGGGGAGGGAGAAAAACCTTAAAAACCCCACAAAACTTTACAAAAAAAGCTAATTTGCCAAGGTTTAGCTGCTCATTAACATTAGTGTGTGTGCATTGATTCAGCCCCATGGTGGTGAATTTGTTTCTTTCCCTTCTTAAGACTGGGGTACAGCGGGCATCAGGGACTTTGTGCTAAGCCTGATGAAATGTGTTTCTAAGGGCACAGAGCCCCTTCAGCTTCCAGGAAGTCATCTTAACACGGAGGCCTCAGCTTTTCTGAGGAGAGAAATCAGATTTTGTTTTTTGAAATCGATTGGGATCTAAAGCCTGAAATAAATATTCATACTTTACATAGAACTGAGCACTTGATTGCTATTTATTTTAAAGGCAAAATTGATATCCCCCAACCCCCTTTCCAGGAGTCGGGAGAGAATGGGGATTAGTGTGTGCGTGAAGTCTTAGTGATGGGACTAAAATTTTGGTTGATGCTGCTGAGGGGAAAAATGTCAGTCAAAACTACTGGTGACAACTGTTGGGAGGTAAAACACCTGTTTTATGTATTTAACGTGGCCTTTTTCCCTCAAAGTACACTTTTACCATAAGGATTTACTTTTAAGTAGCCAGATTTTAATTACTCAGTATTAATGCTAGGTGCATGTGTTAAGATTTTGGTTTTCATTGAGCTGCTTATACTGATAGTGATAAATAACTGTGGACATATGTGAGATATGAGTGATCAGTTCCCACTTTCCTCATTGGATGTGACCTGGACTTTTCTCTCCTTCCAATGTACTCTAACTGTGGAGTGCAAGCTGAAGTTGTGCTTGGAGCTTGCCCTGGGCTTCTTTGACTCTCTGGCAGGGCCAAGGGAACTGGCTGCAGGCAGTGTCTAGATCTTTCTGCCAGGCAGTTGCTGCAGCTTTGATTTCCCTAGACTGGGAAAACATGGATCATGTTTCTTCAATCAATACTGAGATCCATCAGCCTTCACCAACCAGGGACTTCAGAACTTGAAGGTGATTTTTTTTTCTTAATGGGAGTGGGCCAGTTCATAGGAGTGTTAAGTGGGGAAAATCACTATAATGTAAAATCATGGGTGTTGGAAGGAAAATAACAGAAGACCAACTACAATCCTACTTCATGTCCCTGCATACTAGTGTCAACTCAGAAAGAACCAAAGGGTTGATTAGAAACAGGGGTAGGATGGATCCTAGGACAGAGTAGTTACTTCCTTAGCTCCTCCTTCCTTTCTGATCTCAGGGTTTTCATTCACACTTCAAACTCTCCAACACATGCTGATATGGCAGCCCTCCTGGCCTCTTAGGTAAGTTTTATCTAGTGTTAAGTGGGAACATTTAACATGCTAAGGTTCATAGGTTCATATGGGACGATGTAGCGCCTTGTGCCTGAGTCTCTGCCCAATTCCCATAGGTTCAGGACTGCTCGCACCCCTGAATCTAGTCAGATTCAAATAACCGAGCAAATCTTTGTGATAAAATGCTCTGATGTCACATTCACAGAAGGGTGTAAAAACGTGCTTTTTTCCTTCAGGCTTCTCGAGTAATAACTTCAGATAGCCTACTTATCTGGTAATGCTCAGATTACCCCTCACCCCATATGTTATAGCCAGTAGCTTGGACTTATGCTCTTGGAACCCTAAAATTAAGCCTTCCTTTCTCTTACCGGTAAACATTTCTCTCCCAGGGCAGTTCAGGCACCTTGGCAGAGGTGCCATACTGCTCAGCCTTGTTCTGTTAGGCCCCGTTGGCCTCTATTCTGCATTGACTCAGGGAGAGAGAAACAAGTATAGGTTGTGGCTCTCAGCTCTTTGGGGTGTTGAGGGCTGAGCTTGCCAATAAGGGTACAGTCAGTCCCTGAAAAGACTGGGATGTGTTCATTGCTAGCAGGTAGACATTCTGATAGCTCAGGCTGACTTGCAAAACCCAGGTCCTGGTTCCAGAGCTCTGAAAACATAGCCTCTGGCAGCAAGAAAAAAAACTTACATATATAATTTTTCTTATTTCTGGCAGTTGAGGCCTCAGGTGAGACCCTTGTGAATATAGCTATGCTGATTACTTGGTGTCACATCAACTAAAAATTCCACACTTTAAGGTTCATTTTGATTCTAGTGGAATCTGGCTGTTCTTCAGGTCTGTATTTTGAGGCTGGGTGGAGAAAGTATGTATCATGGTTTCGTTGTTGCTTCTCAAAGTCTTCCCCACTCTTTCTTATCATTCCAGAATTCCTATTAGCCACATGTTGTAGCCCCTTTATTCTCATGGTAATTATTTGCTTCTTTATTTGCTGGTTTCCTCATGTTTGGGACATATAGGAAGAGGTTGAAGGGGGAAATGTGTAGTTCTCCACTGAAAATGAACTCTGCCCCTCCCATCCTAATAAACAAGGTTTACATTTACAAAAAAGATTCAGATGCAATTTTCAACTATTCTGAAACCAGCAGGACACACCCGACTTTAATAGTTTTCTTAGCTGAAATTATAGATGTTTTTCTTTAGTTTAACTTATAAGATTATCTCTGATGCATTTTGTGTTGACTTCCCCTTTAGTGGTTTATTTTGTCTTTTCTGCCCATCTGTCTACTAATAAAATGTGAAATAAAATATACCTGTATTGCTACTTCCCCATGGGGTGACCCTCTTTTTTTGTTCTTGTTAAAACTAAAATGTGTGGTCTCGGTGTTTCCACTGTCCCTTGCAAATTATGTCCAGAATTCGGCTGTAAAACAAATCAGTCTGCCAACCTGCCTCTTCACATCATGCTCAAGTCAAGGATTGCATGGAAGTGAGTAAAGTGGCAAGAAAGGTGGTTGAAAAACAGCCATTCTGGAATAGGGCGGTCGGCCAACACAGCAGGTTAGTGGAGGGTGATCACTGCCCTCCATAGGTAAGCCTTTTGTAACTTGTCTTCTGGGACTCAGGTAAGAACTATTTAATAAAGGTTTCATTTATTATGGGTTAACAGCACCTCACCCATCTGATGACCTCTGAGAGGCCCAAAACAGGAAAGATACATTGATCCAGGGCTGGTCTGGTTTACTAACTTGAAGCAGCATGTATTTCCTTTGCTTGTTTATTAGCTTGCCTGGTTATAGGGGTTACTTAGGACTGAAACTTTGAGCTTACTGTGTCTCAGGCAGCGCCTCTCGACTCAACCTACCTACCAGCTGGTTGTGCCATGTGCTAGGGAAAGATACTTGCAGGAGGAAGAGGTGTTCATAATCCAGCATTCAGGTGGATGGTAGCTCTGGAGTTTCAGGAGCAGATACTAAGGCCAGTTGCTTACCTCCTATCACCCTGACTCCCATCTGTTCCACCACAGCCTTTGACGAGGTCATGCTAGGTTCCTTAAGGAATAAAGGACAGAGAAGGCTTGACTGCTTCTTGGTGAATCTCTTAAAGTCAGTTGAGCTTTGGAATATTTGTTGACTGCCAGGGTAGGGATATTTCAAACCTGTTGATAACGTGCTACAAGAGAATCCCCTACCTCCTACACCTGTTATAGTCAGACCACACGAGACCAAGGATGCTCTCAGAACTTTATTAGGTGGAGTGAGTTCGGGCAAAAGAGAAACCCCTGAAACAGTCACCCATCTAGTTTTGGACATCCTTTGCTTGAAGATGCATTCTCACTGAGATGAAAGCAAAATCTTTGATTTTTCTTTCTTTTTTTTTTTTTAAGGGGAGCTGACTGGCTGTACCTCTCTGAGGGCAAATTCTGATTAAAAAATGTTTGACCAGAAGCCCCTGCTGTGTATGAAGACAAACAGGTGCCAGTGTTACATTGGGTGGAAGAGGCGGGGAGGTGTATCTGCGATTCCCAGCTCAAGATTTTGCACTAGAGTAACATGACAAATAACAGACCAGTTTTTGAAAAAGAAGGATAAAGTAAATTACACAAGAAAGAAAACTCAAATAATGGTCTTAGAAGGACACAAGTTAAGTCGTGATTCTTCATTGGTATCCTGACCCAATGCCCAAACTGCCTTAACCAGTCCTCCAGACATTGCCCCTAGCAGCCTGCAGGGCAGGGGTGGGGCTCTGTAGAAGGCCTGAAAGCAGTAAGAAGGGAGGAGTCTTATTTTGCTATAGCAATGGGGCCTGTGTAGAGAGCAGCTGCCATCTCCACTTCCCCAAGATTTCTATCACATTTACAAATACATACATAAATACATTACATACAATAGCGAGTCTGGGAGGCAGGCTCCCTACAGAGGCGCGGCTGACACAGTTACATGTCTCAGGGATTCTAGGGAAGGGTACTGAGCTCCAAGAAGTGGGCCCTGTGTTTTCTGCTCAGGGTATGCCTTGCCCCAGCCCACCCCTCCAGTTCAGTTAGTCCAGTATGGAGAGTTGCCATAGGCAGGCTTGGAGGCTTGTGACTTGGCTTGCAGGGTGCTGGGTTGGTTGCGTTGACCCGACCCACTCTGGAGGAGGAGAGAAAACTGTCAGGGCTTGAGCAGAAAGCACCAGGTCCAGGCAGAGTGGCTGTCCTAGAAATAGACTCACCTGAGTATCCTGCGGAAGGTGGTGGTGTAACAGCTGCGAGTGGGGTTGCTGGTGGGCAGGCAGAATGTGCAAGAATGGTGGAGGAGCATAACCAGGGGCTGCTCCCGGGGCAAGAGGCCCAGTGGAGCCCAAAGCTGACGGCAGGCTGAAAGGTGGAGGGGTTCCTGCATGAAATCCCTGTTTGTCAAAAGTCTGCAGAGTAAAGAGACAACAGTGAGGGTCAGGTTGGCCTATACCTCCCACCAACCTACACACCCACCTTTGTCCTCCCTCACCTGAGTCTTATTATAGACAGAACCAGTCATATCAGGAAGGCCAGTGGTGCTTGAAGACACGGTTACTCCTAGGAGGAAAAGCATTTGTTCCCAAGGGAGGAGGGCCCAGTTCCAACCTCCCCCACCTCTAGGGGGCGCTCTGGGGTGGCTTTGCCTGAGCAGGAGTAGGAGACAACTATCTGAACTTTAAACCTGGAAAGGACGCTACCTTTGCCAGGTCCAGAACCTGCAGGCTTATTTGGGGCCTGTGATGATCCACCATAGCCACCCTTGGCGTAGTCTCCTGCTGCTGTGCCCTGGCTCAGGTCGTCGTAACCTAGCGTGACAGGATAAAGGCACATGAGCTGTCAAGCTTGCCCTCCCCACCATCTCTCTCTGCTGGGAATACTCCTCACCTGCGCTGTAGCTGTGCTGGCCATAACCACTGGCCTGCTGGAAAGGGGTGGCGGGGGTGCTGAGGCTCACACCATGTTGCTTGGCTGAAGCGGGAGGGACCTTGGAGAGCAACAGCAGTATTTAATGGAGGAACAAGGTAGGGTGTGGCAGGTCAGGTCCACCCTGGCTAACTGCAGAGGATACCACCTGCAGTGCTCATGTAGCACAGTGCAGGAGCAGGGGACAGGGACTACCAGCAGTGCAGGGGGTGTCCCTGCCTCCTGGAGTTGAAATGACACGTTCCACAAATACTCACAAACATGGTGGGCCCATACTGGAAGGCACTGGGCACGCCCGTGTAGTAGGGGAGGCCGGTGTAGCTATACCCAGGTGGCAATGCAGGATTCAGAAAGGGCTGCTGGGCTGTGTGGTGGGCCTGGGACTGACTCTGCTGTGGCTGAGCCAGCGTGGTGGGGGGCGCAGGGGAAGCAGAGTCACCTCGCCCAAATTTTGTAACATCACCTGAGAGGAGAAGAGCATTACTGTCCTGACCAGAAAAAAAAAAAGTCACCCTGGCTCCTGCAAACTGGAAGAGGTACAGTTCCTCGCTCATTAACAGGAAGCTAACTGGCCATTCTTAGCCCTTCTGTTTCTGTATTCAGATGCTTGGGGTTTTAACTCAACAGCCCAGCCCAATGTCCCCTGACTTACCCACGTGTTTGTGGGGGACTAACCTGAATATGGGTTATTCGCAAGGCTCCCATCTCGGCCGGCAAGGGCTGTGGGTGTCGCAAAGGGAATTCCATAGTAATCCTAGATGAGACCAGGTAGGACTGAATCAGCAGAAGAGCCTCAGCCCCACTCCAGGAAAAGCAGACAGCCCAAACACTCCAGGAGCTGTGACACATCCAGGATAAGCTAGACGGGAACGTCATGTGCATACCTCCAGAGGCCAGCTCCCACAGAATTTAAAGTGTATGGGGCCCACTGAAGTCATGCTGTACAGCAGCCACAAAGTGTGCAGACAGACCAATCCCTCAGCTAGCCAGTCAACTGGAGGCCCAAGCTCACATGCATTTTAACAGAGATGGATGCTGGTGACTATCACTGGCCAACTCAGCTCCCTGTTGGCTTTTTCTGTGAGAGGGATTCTAAAAAGAAGCTAGGTACAAAACTATAAAGAAGTCAACAGGAGAGGAGGTTCCAAAATCATTTAACAAGTCTGGGCAGCGGTGTCTGATAGGCACAGGTGCAATCAGGACCCCAGATAAGGATCTACCACCCACTCTGCACTGGCAGCACAGCACTGCATTGAAGGCAGGGAGGCCTGGCTCACCGCCTGGGCTGTGGCAAAACACACACTCCACCCTGGTCTCTGAGCCAAGCTGAAGCCCTTCTGCTTATCTCGGGCAGCAGCGCTCATCACAGCCAGGCGGGTAGGACCCATCTGGCTGGGAAGACAGGCACACCCTCCTGCCTCATCTCCAAGTAGCCTTCAGAAAATCCACAGCACCTGCAGCTCTACCTAGAACTCCAGAGGTGGGAGGACTAGGGAAGAAGAGTTAGCAGCAACACAGCAGAGACAGGGAGAAAGCCCAGAAGGGGGAGCTCCTTTACAAGAGAAAGAAATCTAAAAGGTGAGAACTAGCACAAAAGCATCAGAGGCTAGTGACCAAAGGGGAACATAAAAGCTGACACAGAGGTGGATTTACTTCAGGTAAAGACAATAAAAAGAACACGAGGATGATTCCTAGAACTGGACCTCCACCTAGCCTCTCCAGGCATAGACTTGTGCAGGACTCCTCTCGTGCTCCATTTCTGACACCCAGGGGCTCCAGGAACAGAGGGCTGAAGTTTTCTCTTCAAGGTTACCAGCGCCAACTTTTAGTCACCACACTAAAAGTCCCCACCCTATGGCTTGGGCATCTCCAGAGAACCATAAGTTCTCTTGGTCACCCAAGAAATATGTTGTCATGTCTTCAAAATCCTTTCTGGATACTTGAGGGAATACGGGCTGATCATCTGCTCAAGGGAGGAGAAAGGCCCAATAACCAGTCTCTGCCTCTGGAAATCCTTTAGCTGACGATGAGCTTCAGATTCAGGACCTGGAGGGGTGGTGATAGCTGTAGTTCCTTGAGTGCTCTGTGGCCAGGCAGAGGAGGGATCACCACCAATGGGAAGAATGTGAGGAAGGACACCTTGCCAAAAGAAAGCCTCTCCCTCTAGGACAGGAGAAAAGACCCCAAATAGCACAATGGATACCACTGCTCCTCAAAATCTTTGACAGATGCCCTGGGCTACTGGGAATCTGGGAAATGCCAGACAAGAGTGGCAGTGCAGGAACCCAAGGTGGTGTGTGGGGAGCTCAGTTCCCTTCACACCCTGCACAGCACTGGAGTCCTGTGTCTCATCCTGGTGGTAAGCAAGGGCCAAAACAAACAGGCAGCCCTGTCCTCAGAATGAGGCTGCAGTGACCAGAATGCAGGGCCAGCATTATGGCAAACATGGTGGCAGGCCAGGCTCAGAAAGGCTCTTAAACACAGTCAGCTCCAGCCACTTGCCCAGGTGCAGAAGCAACCCCTGCCATCACCTTGGTAGCCGCAGGCACTGAATTGCACTTGGAAGGAAACTAGCAATTTAGGGATAGGCAAGAAGCTTTCTCTGCAGTGATGCTGAAAGAGGTTCTTGGGTTAGGTCACGGGTGCTCAGGATTAGTTAGGACAGCAATGAAGGCCAAGGGAGAAGGAACTGATTGATGAAGGAATCAGAATCCCAACCCATCACCCCACTCACCACTGGCAGCCGTGACTGGAGCATCTGAAGCTCCTCGTAGCCATAGATCTGCATGATGATCAAAAATGGGTGTTAGGGACTACACCCCACCCCCAGAAAATATCAACTTATATGGGGACTTAAAACAAGGTGGAGGAAGGTGGAGCAGGATACACCCAAAATGGGGTGGGGCTCAGCTGCTATGGGTTAAGAGATCCTGCCCTCAATGGAGTCCAGAGGGGAGAAATAACAGGGATCAGAGCAGCAGCGATAGGCTTAGGGTGGCGGAAATAGGCCCCTCCCACTCACCAGACCCTGCTGGGTGCCAGCCCCCCAGTCCAAAGCAGCTTACCGGGTAGGCAGGAAGCAGGCCTCCGGGACCCACGAGGTACTGGTTGTGCAGCAGAGGTGGCACCCCCTGGGGCAAGTTTGGGGGTGCTTTGCCTATAAAGGCAAAAATCAAATCAGTGAATTGCTTATCACTAGGAGTGAGATTCTTCAGCTAATGGGGGCCCTTAAGTTCTAACCACAGTGTGGTATCACATGGGACCATGGCCAAGAGAGGAAGGCAGCAGGCTCTAGGGTCAAGGTGGATAGCAACAGTGGGAGACAAAGCACATACTGTCACACTCGGGCTGTTTTCATGTCGAACATAAATGCTACCCCTCACATATCCCTCAAAGTTCACTGCCCTGAGCAGGGCAGACAGTGCCAGGAAAGAAACAAGCTGTGTTGACGGAGGCTTTTGGCAATTTCGACCAAATCAGTTTGAGCTGGGTGGGCACACAAAGTGGCCAGAAGTCATCCATGATAGCCACTCCTTTGTCTTCACTGTCACCGTGCCATCTCAGTTCCAGGGAAAACAGGGACAGAAAATATGGGGGAGGTAATAAAAAAGTTACAAAGGCTGCCAGTAATTTTGCCCCGAGAGCCCACATACCTTCCATACCTCAGGGCTGGAAGGACCAAGTCCTCAAAATGTCAATAGAAGAAACGAAAGGACCATGGCAGGGATCAAAGGGAAACTATAAATAATCTTCTCATGTCCTTGTCCACCCACCCTGCCCAACTCCTGAGCATCCCTGCTGGGTGAAGAGTACACCTTCCAGGAGTCCAGTATAGGTCAAAAAAAAAGGGCCTCTGGGACACACACCTGAGGTGACCAAGGGTGTAGCTCTGGTAGTGCTGCTGGGGGTGCTTATGGTGGTCCCCCCCAGGCAGAGACTGTTCACTGTGTTCATGCTGCTTGGCAGGCTGAGCCCTGAGGATGTGGCACTCGAGGCAGAAGTTGCTGCCGTAGAGAAGGTAGCTGAGGACTGGAGGGAGGAGGTGCTTTCCGCACTGGCATGCTGGCAAAACAAAAATGCCAGAACACATGGATCTGGGCAAGGCAATAATATAATAGTAAAGCCTAGCCTGATAGTGGAGACATCCTCGGTCTCCAAGACTGAGCTGTGGGGTTCTGTACTCAGTGGTCACTGTAGCCCCTCAGATTGCAGTTTCATCAGTACATTGAGAAAAAGCACATAGCTGAGTAATTTCAAGACTACTGAATTTTATCACTAAAAATGCTCAAAGATCCTGTTTTGGTATCTCAAACAAGGCACCACAAACCAGTCAGAATGGACACAGGCCATCTACCTCAAAGGAAAGCAAGTAGCCTCAGGAAAATTGACTGTGGGCCATCAGCTGCCCACCCAAGTCACAGCAGTCTAGAGATGTCTTTCTATTGGACTTCTTAGCAACTCTGACCTGGAAGTCACAGATGTACAAGAAAGGCTTTTGATGTGGAACCTGTCTGTACCTTACAGTCCCCATGAGGGCCTACCTGGAAGTACCTAGCTTGCCCCTGTTCCTGTGTGACAGGATCTACTTAGTGATTTCCAGAAACCTTCCCAGCAATTCAACTGCAGCCAATAACAAGGCACCAGAAAGGGCTTGAGCAATGGAAGATGAGTGGCAAAGATACACCTGGTTAGGCAAAGCAAGAAGGTATTTGCCTTGAAGGAGGAGGAGAAGACTCTGAGACTGAGATCACTCCAAATCAGGGCATGTGTAGAACAAAGAACTGAAAGAAGGTGAAGAACAAAAAGCTTCAGAAGGAATCACCAAGCCTCCCATGTGTGCCCCACAGCATAAATTACTTATCTGGGGCAGTTCCAGCCCCACATACTGTCCCACCCATCTGAGCACTGGCCTTTCTTTTCACAAATCCTTGTGCAAATTTCTGCCATCTTTTAGTGAATTGTCCTGGTACTTCCACTATTTGCCATTTCACAATAACTCATTCATCAATCTACCCAACCCCTGGCACTGACACCATGCTCCCAGCGTCACACCTTCAATCTCCACCATGCAGGTTACCCTATGGCACATCAAGTAACACTTCCCAGTTGGCACTACACTTGTGCATGCACTATTGCTTTGCATACTCCAGACTTTCTTCTTCAATGTCAACCTTCCTAACATCTGTGCCTTTGAGCTAGGTGAAATAGCCTGATTTGAGATGATACAAGGGAAGAATGAACAGGAAACCCAATGCTGTAATGGGGGGAAGCCTACATGACCAGCAATTAAAATGTATGAATGCTGACTGGGCCAGAAGCCAGGACTGTCACAGTCTCAAAGACCTAAGATGTGCCAGTGGCAAAGGATGGATAGTCTTCACAGAAGACCTTTCTTTTCCTTTCAAGCATTTCCTCTGTTTCACACACAGGGTTATCCAGAAAAGATGCCCTTCATTAGATCAAGTTTTAGAGCACAAGCTAAAGTTAGCAGTGACCTCACTTCCCTCTAAGAAGTTTACAAATGCTTCAATGGAGCAAGCCTCAGAAAATAAAAACAACCTTGCTAGTAGAAAAGTCTTCTACAGTGACCAGGAAAAGCTCAGCACATTTTGGGAGTAAAATCACCATCTGAGAGTCCCTGCCAATGACTTATCTCAGAGCACAAACAACAGCTCCTCCCATACACCTAGATGAAGATGCTTCAACTAAGCAAAAGATTGTCCAGGGACCTAAAAATGCACACACTGAAGCTGCTGCTGCATGTGACAGGCTGCCAGGTCCCTGTGCAGGGCCACTTGTGGGTGAGGAGCCAGGAGGACACTTACTGTGTGTGACGTGCTGGAGGAGAGTGCTGCGTGCGCAGAGGAGAGGCTGTTCTGATGGCTGGAGAGTGAACTAGAAGACAAAGCAGAGCACCATGTGTCCACCCCCCGCAGCGCTCGCAGAAGGACGACCCATGTCTAGATGCGTCAGGTAAGCGCGCCCCAGCCCACCCAGGGAAATCAGCCAATTGCCAACTCTATTCGTGTCACTCCTTATCACCTGGAACCCAATCCAAGGTGCTGGTGGTTAGAAATATCCTAGAGGAGCACTGTCTAGTCACAGCCTGGTCTGGGGATCTGACACAGCCTGGCCTGGGGAACCACACTATAAAAATTAACAAAAGGACTGCACTAAGACACTGACACTCTTCAAGTTCCTATTAAATCTTCGAGTGAGGGATGTTTCTATGATCAGCCCCCCACATCAAAGTCAGAGCCTGAATTCTCATCAAATTCTAACTACTGGGGGACGAGGTGAACTTTACTAAGACAATGTAAGGTAAGGACCAAAGCCCAACCCCTACGCCCTGTTCTAAAAACTTGCTCTCTGCAGCCACGGCAAGTATACTTCAAAGAGCTGCCCAGAAAGTCCCTATCTTCATCCTGTATCACAGTGACATGGGCCCAGAGGTGTGAAGGAGTTAGGTGCAATGCACCCTGCTGAGGGCCCAGAAAGAGCAGCAGGGAGGACCCTGGTTCCATTCCCTCCCCAGGGCCCGATGCTCTGTGACAGCAGAGGTGAAGTCCCAGACATCATGTGAGGTTGTGTTTGCGAAAGTGGCATATGAGGGCTCAGGGGCTTCACCCCCATGCACCCTTCATTCTGGGCCCATATTTCCTTCATACCTGCTAAGCGGGGGCAGGGGACTGCTGGTCAGGTCACCAGGCTGGGACAAAGAGGACAAAGTGGCAGTGTGCTGGGATGCAGAGGGCAGAAGTGAAGTGCAGGAGGTGGTGCTGGGCAGGGAGCCAACAGATGGGAGGGCGGAGGGAGGGTCTGCTGTCTTTGGAGCAGGAACGGATGAAGTAGCTGTAAGAAATAGATCTCTTTACCTCTGGAGAAAATGCTGAGTTCTGAAATAGACATTTGTGGCATTTCAGGATTGATGGAGACATAGTTACATTCCCCAGGGAAAATGCCCAAGTCAAGTCACCAAACAGTGCGTTTTTTAGGTCTGACTACCAAAAGGACACACACAGTCAGAAACACAGGCAAAGAATACAGGAGCCAATCCTGACCCACGTCCTGGAAGGTCAAGATGCTCTGCAACTGATATATGGGATTTTCGCATAAGGCAACTTTTACTCCAAGGCAGAAGAGTTAGGTCTTCTTGGTGGCTTCTATCAAAGCAAAACAAATCAAGGTGACCTTGTGAAATATCTCAGCCAGTTTTAGCCAGGTGGAAATTGAAAGTCACACTTGCCTCAACTCTGCAGAGAGATTCAGTCTGCTGCCCAACACCTCCTTTCAAATATAAAGTGAACAACTCCTTAGAATGTGCTTGAATAGAATAAGCTCAGTGCATAAGCAAGTTTAGGAGGTTTTTAGAAGAACATGAATGCAATCAATCCCAGAAAAGACTCAGTTTTAGTGCTTTCCACACACACAATTCAGATATGTGCTTGGAAATAAAGCATCACTGTCTTTTCCAGTTAGGAAAGAAATGCAACCTTTACCCACCTGCAGGACTTCCTGGAAGACCAACAGAAAGCACAAATATCTATAAAGAAGAAATCAAAACAAACACAGCCAGCCAAGAAGGTCATCAGCCTATTCTGTCAATTCTTACAGCATTGTCTGTATTCCAAGAGGCTTGCTCTACACTGATGGTCAGCCCCAAATAAAGCACCTGTTCTTACAGAAATCAGATGAAGATACAAATCTCTTTGGCCCAAAATGCAGATCACAGAAGTTCACTAAGAGATTTTCAAAAAACAAGTATGTGTGTGCGTGAGAGACAGAGAGGGGGGGGGGAGAGAGGAGAATATGGGAGATTATTCAAAAAAAAAAAAAAAGATTCTCCACAGATTCGGGTCCATACCCAATAGTGTGTATGCATTTGCCTCACTGAAAGAACAAAAACCACTATAAACGATCATAGATAAGCACTAATGAAGAAACGAGTAACAGGCCCCCCTGGACTTCCCCTGCCTCAATCATTGCTCTCCTCAGCTGTGTCTTTCAATAAATCCATCTGTTCTGCTCTCCACTAAGTGTTTGGTGAATCCTTTACTCTCCCCTCTTGTTCTAGCTACAGTCATTCAGATTCAAAAAGCAACAAGCATGTCTTTCCTGAACCATGACACCAACTCTTTAGCTGAGTCCTCTCAACATCTTGGAAACTGTGCCTCTGAGCGAGGCATCTTTTAAATCTACATTTCACTATAGATATGAAGTGCTGTCTGACTAGGACAGAATAATAAGAGACTACTTTTTCATACTACAGCTGTGGCATTTCTAATGGTGGATCACAAGAAATAATCAAAAAATATAAACAGGCTATTTTATGCAGTTATTCTCCTTGTCAGGTTAGTTGTGTTCTTCTTTTGTTTGGTTTTCCACCAGCAATGACAAGAATCATAGGTTGATATACTTACTGTCTACTGTCTGCTGACTTCGACTACCACCATGTCCATTCTATAAGGAAGGAAAAAGATAGTAAACAAACACAAAAATTAAGTAACTAACTTATTATGACTTTCTATTTGGAATTAGACATAAGTATGAAATTAACAGATTTTTTAAAATAAAAATACAATAGAACAAATTCCTAATATGTCCCAAGGAAGTGACATTTCTAAAAACCAAATTGAGTATTTAGAGAAGTAACAAGGATGCTACATAGACCCAAATCACAGGAAGCTATAACATTCCTTCACATTCTATAAAAGTATAAGAACTAAAGATCTCTTATATTATATTAAATCACCAGGCTCTTTGCAAAAGCAGAAGAGGTACAGCATCTTCTGGCTCCTCATTCACTGCTGTTCTCCCTTGATGAAGAACAAGTCGTCAAGAAGCCACACTACAGTCATGGCTATTAAAGAGCTACTGGAGCCAGAGGCAGTGACGTGCCAAATTATAATTGCTCTAACAAGCAGCAACACAAAATCTTTAGGAAATGAGTGCCACCTTATGAGGCGACAAGGGAAAAAATTCTCAAAGTGACAGGACTAGTTCAGATGCCGAGCACAATCCTGAGACTACTACAAGGAAAGCCCCATTTGGTGAAAGACCTAAGACCAGACATTTTTCAGATGAGAATACACAATTAACTGACTTTCATAGTCCTGAGAATCTTGAATAGATTCACTCCATCAGTACTTAGTTGGGTATTTAGGTTGAAGTCACCATTGTAGATGCTGGAATCAGCCTTTCCAATAAATTGATAGTTTCTTGTTTAAAAACAAAACAAAAAAACACACCAGAAACCTGTTTCATTCATGTTCTTGGTTCTGAGGATCACTCCTAAGAACTGTTTTCAAATGCTAACAAAAATAACTTTCAAGGAACAAAATTTCTTATTTTATATTGTTAACAAAATGTTCTCAGAAAAGATGTGACTTTGAAAAGGAGCTTTTTTTTTAAATTGTCTTATATCATCGATCATTTTTGGACAGTATTTGATTTCTCCCTTCAGGGGTGGTTCCTATAACTCCCCCACCGCCACAGCAGCAGTAAACCATTCTCCACAGTCCCTTGTGCTCACACCTCCCCTGATGTAACCATTTCCCTCCTACCCATGGTTTGGAAACATGGCTTTTCTTAAGTGGGTGGTAAAAGACTGAGGGCAGTGTCATAGCCCAAGGAAAGCAGAACCTGAAAATAACCAAGAGTTAACTGTAAAGCATTCACTACAACTGACAGCACAGACTCATCCCTGGAAGGATGATTTGTTGCATCTGAGTCGCTGAGAGTGGAGCCTGTGAGGCTCAAACACTTCTGTTGAAAACTACTAAAGAAAAAGACAAATCTGATAGCTGTTATCTTTGCATTATTAAATCTAGTACAATTTCTATTAATAAAACAATTTGAGATTTTTTGAAAGAAATGTAGATATTAAAATAGATCTGCTGGGGAAAAACTAAAAGGTCAGGGAAAAGAAACATATCTCACCAGCTTGTAAAAGGTAATTCAAGTTCTACACTTTTTAAAATGTATCTATTTACATTATTGTTCACTTTAAACCAAAGTTTACTTTCCCCTCCCCCACCCATTATCCCCAGAGCCCCCCCATTCCTCCCTCCTTCTGATCCCTCTCTGTCCCCCTCCCCTGTAGGATCTCTCCGGTTTATAACTGTCTATTTGTTTTCTAGTAACAATATACTTCCCCTCACCCACCCATCTTATTTGGCTCTTTTAAATTCCTGCTATAAGTGAAATCATTCAATATTTTTCTTTTACCTTCTGGCTTATTTCACTGATTCCTTCCAGCTCCATCAAGTTCTATACTTTCAAAACCCTCTATACTAGCATTCAGTGCTCCCTAAATCTATCTATAAAACATGACCATGTGCATCTCTAACAACACAGACCTCACCACCCAAAGAAGTCTTCTCAAATGTACACTTGGCAGAAAGAAAATAAAGGGGCATCAAGAAAGAGCAGCTATCAGATCTTTAATTCATATTGCTTCATTTCATTTTGTACTTTTTAAAGCACAAACAACGGACAAGAAGTTACAATACAGGAATCACATTTTTAGGAGTGTGGAAATTGGCTGGAGTGGTGTTAACAAGACGAAATTAGGGGAAATTGGCTAGAATGCTGACCAAGAGTGAAGTGGCAGAGAGTTAAGCTTGCACAGCACACAATATAATTTGTTTTAGAAACTACAGGAATCAACACTGTCTAAAAGAAAGATTATTTCCTGCAAAAATGCACTGTGCACTGTGCTATATTGTACCTATAACCATATCTGGATATTGAGCATTTAAAATGTGGTTAGTGGTCCTCCCTGGTGGCGCAGCGGGTTAAAGCACAGCATTAAACTAAGCTAAAGCCACTTCAGCACTTCAGTTCAATCCCTGCCCCAGAGGTGACCACATGGCGTGGCAGACCTCTCCTGACCCGCCCATGCTCCCCTCAGCTCCCCTAAGCAGTGTACTTTATTGATCTGCATGTTCTGCTCCCCAATCTGTCTCTGGTGAACCCGCTCACTGCCCCTGCACCTCTAGCCTGTATCCCCGCTCTGTATGCATAAATAAATAAAAATCTTTTTGAAAAAATGTGGTTAGCTCTGTCTCTGGTTAAATCCTCTCTGCCCTACATCTCTGGCCTACATCTCTTCCACACAAAAGAGAGATTTATTTAAAAAAAAAAATGTGGTAAGCATGGATGAGAAAATAAACTTTTGTTTATTTTTTTAAAAAGATTTGTTTTATTTGTGCATGTGTGCAAGAACTAGAGTATAGGCCAGAAGTGCGGAGGGTAAGAGGATTCACCAGAGTGGGTAGTAAAACAGGCGGATGTACTGAAATACACTGCTGAGGGGAGCAGAAGGTGAGACAGGAGAGGTCTGCTGCGCCATGTATGGGACACAGCTTCCTGGTTCGGGGTTGAATTCATGCCACAGTGACTGGCACTGGACTCATAGTGCTGAAACTTTAACCCCTACATGACTAAGGTGGCCCTTAATTGTTTAAATAAACTACTCCATATGCATAGTTGTTACTGTACTAAAAAACAAAAGCACAGTAAAGAAAAATTTGCTAAATAGATCACAAAGGCATTTTAAAAATATGTAAATCAACATGTAAGCCCAGACTAGAAAGCATATATAGGATGAGAAATGACTTAGCTGACATGACAGGGAAAGTCAAAAACAAACAATTTATGTCAAATAACAACCAAGTTAACTCAGTACATGGCTGTACATGACTTTGGAGGCAGAAGTGAAGGTGGGGTGAACCATGAAAGAATTTATTTTAAAAGCCCAGGCAGGACAAGATCACCTCCTCCCTCTACAAAGTAGGGTGAATACCCTCACCTGTCACAGATTCTAAACTTCACCAAGAAGGTAAACACATAATCAGGTATACTGTAAAAACACAGATGAATCAGATCAATACAGACAGAACAAATATCCCAATGCCAGGCTTTTCCCCCATTACACTCCTCTCCTCAGACACTGAGAGCACAGCCCCTAAAGAGAAGCCACTGGAAGAATTCCCCTCAAGACACTATGCAAGTACAAAAGGCCCACGGGACTGATGAACACATCCCTGTCCCAAATAAGTGGCCTCTGTTTCGCCACATCCCATATCACAGCCCAACACAGCGTTTACCAACGCATTCAAAGCCCTTAGTGAACCTGTTTGTATTGAGAGCAGTCTGGAATCAAATATTTGGGGAAAACATCTAACAAGAAAGGAAACGAAAGGTAGGAGGGAGAAACTCCTATGCGACATATACATATCTCTCCTGATAATTTTAGCAGGACATATAGGGAAACAGGATACCAAATTTCTGCTAGCCAATTCAACTGTCTTTCAAAGGATTTGCCCACTAATAGCAAACTAAATAAACCACAAGGTTCTGTTCAAAAGGTTAGCCAATTTCTAAAAGAAAATTTCTTCCCCAAAGTTGAATTTCCCAAACTACATGCTCAACTCCTTCCTGGACTTCCTTCCAGGAGAAATGAAATTACTTACAGTGATGGCTCCTGGAGCTGACTCCGATGGACTCACAGGGCTTTGGTATGTGATCCTGTTATGCACAGAACTCTGGTCATAGGAGGAAGACGTTGTCACTGGACTACTGGAGCTCAGGGATGAACTGGACACACTGGAGGAGGTAATGACTGAAGTTGTGTAGGTGGAGTTCTGTACTGCACTGGTCATTGGTAAAGAGGTATTCAAAGAATCACTAAAAAGAAAAGGAATTACACATAAATTTGTGTCACTTTAAATTGCTTACTGATGTTGAACAACTTCATCATCCTACAGGTATATTCTAAACTACAAATTTATACTACTGCATTCTTTAGATGGACTGATCATACAATTGATTATCCAAAACAAACCCCCCAAACCACCACCTCGTCTAGCTCACAGGGAGACTGCTTTTAAGAAAACTTAAAAAATCTTTAAAGAATCAGATGCCTGAAACCATTTTTACAAAGGGGACCCAAGCAAATATCCAGGTTTGACTCTGGAAAGTGGGAAAAAATAACTAATAAAATTAACTCTAAAAATCTGTGCTCTCTTGGTAGAGCATAGTGGTATACAATATACCACTAAAAGACAGGAAGTGCTCATGAAGACATGCAAAAAAAAAAATCACATCCCTCAGAGATTATGAGTAGAAATGCAAAATGCTACAGTTCCTGTAGGATGTTTGATAACACTCAAACGGTTAAATCTGAAATTTACCAGTATGACCAGCAATTCTCAGATATATGTCCTAAAGTACTAAAAGCACACAAAATTTATAACTGAAAGTTGCTATGAACATGACAGATAACAGCCAAAATGTACAGAAACCCAAATGTTCATTAACAAATGGATAAACAAGATGTAATATATTATAGGGAAATTAAATGGATAAACCTTGAAAATACTACTCTAAGTGAAAAAAAAAAAAAGACACATATTGCATGATTTTAGTAATATTAAATGTCTTATGTAGGCAAATTTTGGAGAACTATTTTCAGAAGATAAGGGACAATTAATTGGGACTGACTGCTAACAAGCTCAGGGTTTCTATAAATCAATACCAGACACTGCACAAACCCATCACCACAATAATATTATCTTCACCAGCTAACGGGTATCTTAGGTGCTACTTTGTTCCACTTTACAAAGACTGAATTCAGTCAAAATCAGTTATGTACCTTAAAGATTTTGAATACAAGCTGATGGGAATCTGGTTACTAGTTTCACTGCTTGTAGTGGGTCCAAATTCAGAAAGTAGTGGGCCTGATCCAAACTCCAGGGCACCAAACTGAACATTTAATCCTGTGACATCTGCTGAACCAGGCATTTCAACTGCAGAAGCTGGAGTCTGAAAAAACAAAACCACTATGTCAGGAACAGGGGTCAGGGGTTCCATGTACGATGGCCTATAAACAAAGCCAAGTGAGTGCTGAATTCTCCAGGTAATAATACTGGCAGGCCTGAGAGCAAGGAAGCTTGAGGCAGGAAGGGAAGGGAAAATAGGATTTCTTTTTTCAGGGCCTCCCTGGTGGCCCAACAAGTTAAAAGTGCAGTGCTGTGAAGCTGTCCGCAGCCACTGTAGCACGAGTTCGTTACCTGGCCAGGGAGGTGACCCACAAGGTGTGGCAGACCTCTCTTGACCAGCCCACTGCATCAGAAGTGAGGACTGATGGTTATCAGTCTCTCCAAGCCAGATAATGTAATTTAATTAACGGCCTCATACAAATCTATTTCTTCTATTAGCTCCAGAAATGGCCAATCACCATAAAACAGTAACTTATCTATGTGCTTGACAACGTAATTATCAGAGTTTCTGAGACACACTAACACATGAGCTAAATATTAAAATGCATCCACAATGGAATACTCCACCTTAGAAGCTGGAGGTATCCGCCGCTTAGTGAGTTTGATGTGTTTGGACTGTGGTTGGTGGGCAGACACGGTGATATTTTCGACGGTCATGCTGGGAAGCTGCAGAAGTTTATTCACAGTGGAGCTACTGTCTCTGGATGCTGACTCTCGGAGTTTTACCTGGGAAGGAAAGGACTCCAACCCAGGAGGAGGAACAGTGACTGCCTGAGTCTGGTGCTGCTGTCGTTGGGTCAACTGGCTAAGAACTGGGGATGGTTCAGGCTGAGATTTGAAGTCTATGAAACGTAAAGAGAGTTGGGGAGAAGAGAGTTGGGGAGAGGAGTACACAAACGATCAATTATTTAAGAACATTGGAATAGAGTTCCCTCTTCCACCAATCATTGATAATGAAGGGTTAAAACTATCAATTTCTCCCAACCATCTCCCGGCTAAATCAAACAAATGTTTCTGTACACCTGTATATGAAAGTATACTGAATGCTATGTGATAAATGGAAAGATGTCTGAAAGGATTTGTAGAAAACTTCCTATACAGTAGAGGAGATACAGTTTATGCTTAAAACATATGTGGTGGAGAGCAAGTAAGGACAGTATAGAGCTGTTGTTCACACCTGACCTTTAGCTAACAGAATCTGTACAGGTATGCAGGCATGAAACAAGCCACTAACTTTTCACTCACCTACCAATTACCTACTACCAACCTACCTATCTGTATATATGTATGTATACAGAGACATCTTGACTCCTTCATTTAGCTTTCAAAAACTGTTCTACATTAATGTGTGAAGAGTCACTTCATTTTATGGCTATATAGTACTTTAGTGTAGACAGATCTCATTTTTTAAAACCAGTGCTGTATTCATCTACTACAAGATTTTTCAACCTCTTTCTATGAAAAACAAAGCTACAATGAATACATTTTTATGTAAGACACTCTGTTCAAGTGTAATAAAGCCTACAGGATCAAATTATAAGACAAAGTTGCTGGCTCACAGAGTAAGTATATTTTAAATGTTGACAAACACTTCAAAATTCTTACCCACCAACAACACTGTTTTACCAAACTTATTTTTCTTCTAATTTGGTGCAAAATAATATTAACAATGTAAACTAAAATGATAAAAGTTTAACTAGAAATCATTTCATAGTCTTTGCCTAAGACCTCAAGTTCTTTATTTTTTTCCCCACTTCATTACTGCTCTACTTAAATCTCCATTTATTTTTTGTTTTGTCTAGGATGTGATTTTCATTTTTTTTTTTTTCCAGTTTTTCATGTCAGTCTTAATTTTGGTTATGGTATGTTCTGTCACATCTAGAATAGCCTACCTCATACTGAGTATATCACAATCTTCCTGTTTTTCTCTATTACTACGATATTCCTGCTATTTCTCTATTATAGATTTAGAACACTCAACATTTGACCATATGGCATTTTGATGTACAGTAGCAATTATGGCTCCAATTTCATTTTCCAGCCAGATACCCTTTAGCAATAACCCTCGTTTCCATCTCTGATTTGAAATGCTACCACTACTATATTTTAGGACAGAGGCTCACTGTCTTTTTCTACACAGAGTAAATGTTATAAGATTTGAAGGACATCTCTTAGCAACAACTCACAACTCTGCCTTTGTAGACTTTGTCATAAACAATATGTAAATGAACTGTGGCTCCAATAAAACCTTTATCTACAAAAATGGCAAATACTATTGAAGATTTGCCAAAATCTCATACTACTTATTTTATTAGTAAATGTGCAGAAAAAAAAGCTAACATGGGAGCGTTATAGCTGCCATCAAAAATGCTGACTTTGGGCCCTCCCTGGTGGCGCGGCAGGTTAAAGCACAGCACTGAGAATCTAAAGCCGCTTCCGCATTAGTTTGATTCTCGCCTGCCCCAGAGGTGACCACATGGTGTGGCAGACCTCTCCTGACCCGCCCGCTGCTCCCCTCAGCAGTGTACTTCGTAGATCTGCCTGTTCTGTTCCCCACTCTGTCTCTGGTGAAGCCTCTCGCCGCCCCTGCGCCTCTGGCCTGTACCCCAGTTCTGTATGCACAAATATATAAATCTTAAAAAAAAAAAAAATGCTGACTTTGAAGGCTGACTCATGGTTGTTATCGGGGAACATGCTTTTTGGCGTAGTCTAGACAGATGGTTTCAAAAATCTAACCTATAAGAATGAGTCTCTGTCCACAAAATTCTTAGAATGTGATTTAAACATCTGTTTTCCTTCCAAGGATCTTGACGGTTATGTATACTAGAGGTGCACACATGACCAGGACCCTAATAAAAAACTTAGGAATTGACATTCTTTGATAGACATTACTTCAACCTAGAAGCAATGTCAGGTACTTCCAAAATAGTAAATCATTTCATTTAGCAGGGAAATGTGCTTTCCCGTCTTTTAATGTACTCTAACCATAAACCTGCCCAGTCAGTCAACTCTCTGGTTAAAGTAACACCTGCTGTTCCTTAGTATAGTATGACATGTATGTACTGGTAGAAAACTCTAAGTGGTCTAGTTTAGAAAATATTGAACTTAAATTCCACAGTAGTGCTTACTAGTCAAAATGTTGTTTTTAGAAGTAACAAAACAGCACATAAAATGCACTTACCAAAATGACTAAGGACTGAGGCCTGAGATGCTGGGGGTTTGAAGTCCCAAGAAGTGGTGGTTGTGGGGGCACTGTTACTATTCTGCTGTGAACTTGGGGTGGTGATAAACTGGCCCAAATTCGGAGCTTTCAATGGTTCCAAAATCTGGGAGTTGGTGATATTTGCCATTTTGGAAGGTGCAAGCTCTCCAAATCCTGCACCAAGGACTGATGACTTTAAAGAAAAAGAACAGAAATTCTAAGCAATAAAATATTTTTACCCCCAAGCTTTAAAATATACCAAATACTTTCACAAGGATTTAAAGAACAATAACCCAAAATATCTCAATTAGTAAGAATCACCTGACTAAATGCTACTGCAAATATGAATAAAAAGCAGACTAAATAAGCCTACCAAGCCTTCCTGATTCTGATATAAGAAGCTAAAGGGGACGTATTTTCCCTGGATTTTTAAGAAATTATATATTTTTAATAAGTTCACAATGAAAAAATCTTAAGACTATAAAGGGATGCCAAGAATTTAATGAACAAGACAAGGCTGACAAATGTTTTCTTAATGTGTGGAACTACTGTCGACTGATTAGAACATGTTTGTTTACAGAAGACACCAGCCATGAGATCATCCTGCCAGGATTAAATGCTGATCACAGCCCTCACAATTGAGTGTTTTCAAATTAGACTCTGAAATATATGGGTCTGTGTACAGATAACCTGGAAAATGCTGTGTTTATGTCAAGAACTAGAAAGCAAAGTATGTTCCTTAAATATGTTTAAGAAAGACTATTATTACCCCACCCCCACCCCCAATCCTGACAGGTCAGATATCAAAGGTCCAAGAAGGAGGAAAACCTATGAGAGAACACAGGAACTAATGAACTGCATCTTCACATATCAAAATTATCCCCTGTCTGGAAAGATAAATTCTTTATCAAAAATAAAACATCTGAAAGAACAAAAGCAAATGAGTTATATTTATTCAAGAGGCCAAATCTAGGAAGCTGAAATAATTATTCTAGTATCAGTATTCCAACAACATCAGTTGTAAGGAAACCCCAATCATCCAATGTGAGCAAATAAATGCTCATAGTGTTGACAACTGCACACCAACCACAGATCAGCCCTAGTTAAAACAGCTGTGCTGACACTGCTTATCACTATTTGAGATTCTCTGTTCAGGCTGCAGACTACACCACCAAAACACAGCTCAAGCCTTATTTATTCCAAGAAAGTTTCTCAGAGGATATTTTTATTATTCTTTCTCTTTCCCTACTCAATTGCTGTCCTATATCAACTTAATCAAATGTATCTGCTGTGTACTTTACAATACAATGAGAAGAGTCAATGATTACCACCTTGCCACAAGTTATATTAGAGTAGCAGAACCTCCTTGGTGGCACAACAGATTGGAGCACAGCACTATGAAGTTAGCTGAAGGTTATTCAGCACGAGTTCAATCCCTGGGCAGAGAGGTGACTCACATAGCGTGACAGACACTCCTGGCCCACTTGCTACTCCCCCCAGCAGTATTTTATCAATCTGCCTGCTCTGCTCCCCGGTCTGTCTTTGGTGAAGCCTCTCGCCGCCCCTGAGCCTCTGGCCTGTACCCCAGTTCCGTATGCACAAATAAATAAATCTTTAAAAAAAAATGTACTGGTGTGTATGAGCAAATACATATTCACAAATATGAGCGCCACATTCCAAAGGTTCTATCTTATTAGGTCTTGTATATAGATTGACGATATTATTACTATTATTATCAGTTATTCTTTTCTTATCGTGTTCCTCATTGATTATTAAAAAAAAAAACACTAGGGTTGAACTTCAATATGCTGAACAATTCTTTCTCAACGTTTTCTCTTAATAAAACACAAAAAGCTAAGTGTCACCATACAAAACACTCATGTCTCACCTATGCTCTCATGGGCCAAGATTCCAGCAAGTCTGCAAGGATGTTACATTAGTAAATCAGTAGTAAATGGAAAAACAAAGGAAGAGTATGAATGGGGTAATCAAAACTCAGGGATGTTACTAGTTTCAAAGGAGAGAAGGCACCAGGCCTTGGGCTGTCCTACTTTTAAGCACTGACCCATCAGTGACTAAAAATGACAAGTTTCCATTCCAGTTATACGCATGACAGAGTAGAAAATAACAGTGGGAGATTTTGCGTGTTTAATTCTCCATTTTATTAGGCTACAAAAAATGAATAATGAGGGAGTAGATTATAACATATTCAAAAGAAAATGTTTCTCTCACCTATATTTCAGGTAAAAACCAGTAAAGAATGAACCAAAATAATTATTAGTGAAAACTATGATCTGTGTTTATAGTTCTTCCTACCTCCACCCTACCAATACAAAGTTGCCTACAGTTGCATAGGGGCTACGGTTACATTTTTTTCATTCTATGCTTGAAGCTTTAACTCCCATCAGCCTGTCTTCTGATCCTTCATTAAATAGTTCCAGAAGTTCCTTCTGATGGAAGCTCAATTCACATATGAAGTCAGAGTCTGATGCACAACAGATAACACTGATTCTCTAAAAACATATCAAAATGATAAAGGTTCTCCTACATAATGTTTAAATTTATGGAATAACAAAAACAGATAATGCAAAAAATATATACACATAGACAGACTTATAACTGTTTTTCACTGATTTTAGCAAGCCAATAAACTTGTGCCCTCCCTGGGGATGCAACAGGTTAGAGCACAGCACTAGAAGCTATCTGCAGCCACTGCAGCATGAGTTTGATCCCAGGCCAGGGAGCTGACCCCATGATGTGACAGGCCTCTCCTGTCCCGCCCGTTGCTCTCCTCAGCGGTGTGTTTCAGTCAATCTGCCTATTCTGCTCCCCACTCAGTCTCTGGTGAGTCCTCTCACCCCAGAGCACTGCACTCTGGCCTGTAACCCAGTTCTTGTGTGCATAAATAAATCAACCTTTAAAAAAAGGAATAGACTTTGAGACCAGAAAGAAATGATAGTAATGAGGTTGCCTTAAGTGGCTGTAATTGAAAAGATTTTAGCTAATCATAATGAAATATTTTTATCTTTGTCCAGGAAACTCAGAGTAGTTGAATTCCACATGGAATCATCAGATATGTGCTTGGAAATTATGCCATCATTGTTTTCTGGACTTAGAGCTACTGTGGAAATTTCAACTTTTTATAAAAATAATTATAACATGCTGAAAGGCACAATTCTGAAAATCCTACTGAAATAAAAGTCAGTTACCAGACTCTGAGGAGAATAGGAGTTGGCAGTGGAGCTACCAGTTCCTGGTGTCATCTGATTGTTGTGCTGAGAATTTGTGAAGACAAGGGCTTGGCCAAAGCCCTGTTGCTGAGATGTCTCAAAGGAGTTGACTTCTGAGGATTGAGCGACAGGCTTCTGGAGCAAGGCTACCAGATCAACACTAAGCAGACAAAAAAAAGCAAATGAGGAATAAGTCACAACCAAATTTTACACAAATTTATTTGAAAGTGAATCGATACAAAGTAAATTCATGTATAAGATTATCTATGTGAGGAAAACCTTTGGAAAATGAAATTTAGAGAGCAAAAGGAGGGCATTGATCACAGAGAAAAAGAATATGAAGCCACAGAAACTGAAGCAGGACTTTGGAGGTGCTCTGAGAAATCCTCACAGAAGTGGCTCATAGACAACTGATTTCAAAACCTGAAACAACTGAATGCATTTAAGCATTCTCAAGTGAGGCTCATTTCTTTATAAAGGAAAGTGAATCTATATTCTTAGGGAATGAGGACCAAAGCCACAGAAGATCATTCAAGCATTTTCACATGAAACATAAACCTGGAAGTTGTGTATTCTATCCATAAATATATACATATAAATCTTACTATGTTTTTCTCTTAAATATTCAAAGGAAAATACAAAATACATTAAATATTTTGTTAACAGAAATTCTTGTATTGGATTTCAGAAGCATAGCCTGTAAGTCTGAAGAAACCTGAAAGCATAAAGAAGAAACAATCTTCCAGAAATATATCAGCTAACATGTGAGTGAGCTATTAACTTTTTTCCACAAAACCCACAAAGTGCTTCAGATTATCTATCAGAGATTCACTCTATTAAACACTTTGAAGGGCCAGTTCCTAGTAAATTCTCCTAAATGAAACTCTCATTATGTCGATGAGGTAGATTCAGGGGGAGGGGGATCAAATAATTTAAGACTCACCCCCAATAGAGAGTAAAGTTCCTACTGCAAGTTCCTTTTTTTAATGCGCTCTCAATACATTTACTTTCCATTAATCAGATTCATAGTCCCAAGTCAATACTCTGGATTCCAAGGAAATGTTCTAGCTAGTGACATTCCAACCCCAGAAAAGTCGTTACATACGACCCATCTAAAACATATTACTACAAAAATTGAAAGTTCTATTCCAAAAGATTTATAAGACATGTGAAAAATGCAAACCCACTATCTTCTGGAAAATAATAACTTTAAAACTCTACACGGGGACCTCCCTGGTGGCACAAAAGGTTAAAGAACAGCACTATAAAGCTATCCACAGCCACTGCAGCACAAGTTCCATCCTCAGCTAAGGAGGTGAACTACATGGTGTGGCAAACCTCTCATAACCCACCCGCTGCTCCCCTCAGCAGTGTACTTCGCCAGTCTGTTCTGCTACCTGCTCTCTCTCTGATGAATCCTCTGGCCTCTCAAACCACTGCCCTGTACCCTACTTTCTTGTATGCATAAATAAATAAAATTTTTTAAAGTCTACATGATATTTTTAAATGAAAATGATCCTATCATATTCACTGAGTAATAAAAATGCAATGAAATTATATCCATTTAATCAGGAATTCTGGGCCTTCCCAGTGGTGCAGGGATCAAAGATACAGCGCTATCAAGCTACTGGCACCCCTGTAGTATGAGTTTGAACCCCAGACACAGAGCTAACCCACAAGGTGCAGCAGACCTCTCCTGTCTCACCCGCTGCTCCCTTCAGCAGTGTATTCCAATAGATCAGTAGGTCTCACCACCTGAACCTCTGGCCTACACCCCAGTTTCTAAATGCAAAAAGAAATAAACCTTTAAAAACAAATAAGGAATTCTGTGTAAATCACAAAATAAAATGTAAGATGTAACCTTTGTTTTTATTTCCCTATTATTAGATCTTATACAATAACCATCTAATTTAGCATGAAATGCAGCAAATTAGACTCAAAACTGTCTTCATCTCAGATGTCATTATATTAAAGCTTTTTAACCTTCTAGATCACTGCATTTTGAAACTACAGGCATTTTAATTATTGTGAAAACTAGGATGTTAAAAAATGCTTTCTAGGGCCCTCCCTGGTGGCGCAGCGGGTTGAAGCACAGCACTGAGAATCTAAAGCCACTTCCTCATGAGTTCGATTCCTGCCTGCCCCGGAGGCGACCACATGGCGCGGCAGACCTCTCCTGACCCGCCCGCTGCTCCCCTCAGCAGTGTAGTTCGTCGATCTGCCTGTTCTGCTCCCCGCTCTGTCTCTGGTGAATTCTCTCACCCTCCGCATCTCTGGCCTGTACCCCAGTTCTGTACAAATAAATAAATAAATCTTTAAAAAAAAATGCTTTCTAATAATTCAGCACTCTATGCTTTCTAAGAATGTTGCTATTACCACAATAGCTCACTTCTTTTCTATGATCTGAGGTTACAAGATTAAAACTAGTACAGCCCACATAAAATGAGAAGTTCATATTAGCCTTAGATGCTATTTTTTTAAATGGTATTATATAGTGTGGGGGGAGCTTAGTGGGCCTCCGTGGTGCTTAGGAGTTAAGACATCACTACGCACACTGACTAAGTTCAGTTCAATTCATAGCAAGGGATTGGGAACCAGAGCACCAGAGCGCTAACATACATGGTACAGGAGACCTCACCTGTTCTGCCCACTGTTTGCTTTAACAGTGTATTTCATTCAACCTGCCTATTCTGATACCCACTCAGTCTCTCATGAATCCTCTCAACATCTCCCATCGCCACACCCCAGTTCTTCTAATTAAAATAAATAAAAATGCTTTATAAGAAAAAAGGCTTAAAGTTTAAAAATAAAAGCTATTAAAATAGGTTTAACATATTCTCTGCCCTACATGGTAACAAACTAACCAATATAATGGCTATTTTAATTCTTCAATATATAGTCAATTAGGATGAAAGTTCTATTAGTTCATAAGGCAGGTTAGGAATAAATAAAATCCTAGATAGAAAAGGGAAAAAACAAAACAAAGGCAAAAGTAAGGAAAAACAAACATTTTTTCTAAGAAATCTAAATTATCCTTTGAAGGAATAGAAAAGGTGTCAAGTAGTGTCATACCTTTGCCTAGGAGAGATGTGATTCTCTGCTGGAACAGATGAGGCAGTGAAGACCTTCGTTTCAGAAAGCTGTTGAAAAGTGTAAAAAATGTTTTTAACTTTATTCTATATAATACCAAAAATATGTGAAATATCTGACAGTTTTTATCCACCAGTATCTTTCTACTCAACTGAAAAGGAGCCTAACAGGAAGGAAATACACAAATGACTGACAATAATTCCTTAAAAGGAAGAAGATTTTAATTTTAGATTGATAAACTCACAGTAAGGATTTCACAACGGAGAAATGACACAGTGAAGTCAAGTCATACTGAGGCTCACGTCACAATCCCACCATTTTACTTGTCAAATAGATGACAAAAATGGGTGGGAAAGTAATCTACATTTCTTTATTAAGTCATGGGTTTCTATGCTATTATATAAAACATAATTTCACTGAGTACAAGCACAATAAACGAGCTTGTGTATATCCTATGAAACCATCGCCAAATAATTCAAGACAATGGATTTCTCTATTAATCCCCAGTCAGTTTCTGTTTCTGTGTCATCAAACCTGTGCACCACTTGACTTCATAAAACCAATGATGCTCTTTCTGTTACAACAGGTTCATTTTCTGAATTTTAAAAGACAGTAAAATAAGCAATCATTCTTGTCTGAGTTTTTCACCAGTCTAATTATTTTGCAACTCATGCTTTCTTTTTTTTTTTTTTTAAAGATTTTATTTGTACATACAGAACTGGGGTACAGGCCAGAGGCTCAGGGGCTGTGAGAGGCTTCAGAGACAGAGTGGGGAGCAGAACAGGCAGATCTATGAAGTACACTGCTGAGGGGAGCAGCAGGTGGGTCAGGAGAGGTCTGCCACGCCATGTGGTCACCTCCGGGGCAGGCAGGGATCGAACTCATGCAGAAGTGGCTTTAGTTTCTCAGTGCAGTGCTTTAACCCACTGTGCCACTAGGGAGGGCCGCAACTCATGCTTTAATGTACTTTCCATGTAAAGCACTTTATTTTTTAAAAGATTTACTTTTATTCATGCATATAAGAGCTGGGATACAGGCCAGAGGTGCCAGGGGTGACAGGCTTCACCAGAGATAGAGTGTGGAGCAGAACAGGCAGACTGACTGAAACACACACTGCAGAGACAGGAGAGGTCTGCTGTGCCATGGGGTCACCTCCCATGCCAGGGATGGAAGTCATGTTGCAATAGCTGGTAACACCTTAATAGTGCTGAGACTTAACCCCTTGGACCACCAGGGAGGCCCTCTACCATTCCTTTAAAAGTTTAAGTGTACAGGCCCTCCTTGGTGGCACAGCGGGTTAAATCACAGCACTGAGAAGCTAACGCCACTTCAGCATGAGTGCGATCCCCACTCTGGAGGTGATCCACATGGTGCAGCAGGCCTTTCCTGAACCTCCTGCTGCTTCCCTCAGCAGTGTAATTCATTGATCTGCCTGTTCTGCTCCCCACACTGTCTCTGGTGAATCCTCTCACCACCCCTGCACCTCTGGCCTGTACCCCAGTTCTGTTTGTATAAGTAAATAAACCTTAAAAAAAAAGTGTACCTGTAAAAGTTTCCCCCCCCCCAAATTTTTTGTCTATGTAATAGGAAATGGGAATAATCTCAAAATTAATGTACCTTAAAATATTTCTTTGGGGGCCCTCCCTGGTGGCGCAGCAGGTTAAAGTACAGCACTAAGAAGCTTAAGCCACTTCGGCATGAGTTCGATCCCCACATGCCCCGGAGGAGATCCACATGGCGAGGCAGACCTCTCCTGACCCGCCCGCTGCTCCCCTCAGCAGTGTACTTGTCGATCTACCTGTTCTGTACCCCACTCTGTCTCTGGTGAATCCTCTCACCCTCCACATCTCTGGCCTGTACCCCAGTTCTGTATGAATAAATAAACAAATCTTTTTTAAAAAAAAATTTTTTTCTTTGAAAAATCTCAAACACCAACATTTTTCTAAGAAGCTCTGTTTAAAAAAAAAAAGCACAGAGATCTGAAAAGGAGCCAAGAACAGCCCTAAGATGCTTCAAAGTATGCACGACTCTACCAGAAACCAAAAGAAATCTGGGTCTGATCAGTTGCTAAACACTTACATCTTCAGTCCAGTCTTCTGTTGTCCATTCTTCTACAGAATTTTTCCAAGCACCTGTTGAGAAAACAAAAATTACAATTTATAACTGCAAAAATAAATATGCCGCCTATTTTATTCCCAAAGACTCTGTATCATGAACTGCATGATATGTAGACAGATAGGCAGATAGACAAACAGACAGACGGTTATTGGAAAGTCTTCAGGTGTCTGGTTTTTTTAGCCTCTACACACACACACACGCACACTCACACGCACACACACACACCCCTCTAAATAAAAATCAATCATGCTTTCAAAGGGAACTTGGGTAGGTACTAAACTCATAAACTCAGCTCAAAGCTACAAACTGATTTTGCATCAATATAGATCAAATCTATAAGTATGGATCTACTGAAATACACTGCTGAAGGGAGCAGCAGAGGTCTGCCACACCACATAGGTTAGATCCCTGGCCAGCAGGGGATTGAAGTCATGTTGCTGTGGCTGTGGAGAGCTTCATAGCGCTGCATATTAACCCACTGCAACACCAGGGAGGGCCCAGTATCCTCAAATTTAAAACAGGCTTTTATTCCAAAATTGTTAAGTTGTGGTAAAACAAAACAAAATTTATTCTTAATAACTTCAATTATACAATTCCATGATATTAAGTTAAAACATACTTTTTCATATGACACTGTGTGTAAAGGCACAGGCTCAACACTTAAAGACTAAAGAGTGTAAGGAAAATATTTCAAATTTGAACATGCAAAATCTAAGTATATATTAAAGCAGGTAGAAGAAGCTGACAATTTATGCAGCCTGCATGAAAAAAAGGCCAGTAAAAACAGTGAGCAGGGCCCTCCCAGGTGGCACAGCGGGTTAAAGCACAGCACTGAGAAGCTAAAGCCACTTCAGCATGAGTTCAATCCCTGCTCTGGAGATGATCCACATGGCATGGCAGACCTCTCCTGACTCGCCCGCTGCTCCCCTCAGCAGTATACTCCGTTGATCCGCCTGTTCTGCTCCCCACTCTGTCTCTGGTGAATCTTTTCACCGCCCCTGCACCTCTCGCCTGTACCCCAGTTCTGTATGCATAAATAAATAAATCTTTAAAAAAATTAGTGAGCAAAAGTTTAACATAATAGACGGGAAAGCTCCACCTCAGAAGTTAGGGCCATCTTATTTCAGTAACCCACCCTAGATACAAAGACTGTAAGACATACTGGACAACAGAGATTAAAGAATATGAGGCCAAGTTCTAATCCTGTTTTAGAGTATCAGAATTTTAAAGTAAGAGCACAGACCTCATTTTGAAATGTTAAACTTCTAGATCTACATATAAAACATGTAGGAGTAAACTTCAATTATTATTTTTCAGTTTAAACAGTAAAAACTTGAGATACTTTATGTTCAATTTAACTTAGACTTAATCATCTACCAAAAACATAAAGCAGTCATTTAGGAAAATGATCCAAAAATCTATGGCACTTTGCAGACCAATCAATAAACAATCTTCTAATCAAAAGCGGATCATCATTATCAACTAATCAAAAAAATAGTTTACAAATTATTACCTGATGGCAATCTTATGAGCTAGCCTTCATCAAAAAGAAAGACACTGGATGCATTTTATAATACCCTTAACTATAGAAAAACTTTTTTTAACGAAAGAGTCATACCTTTGAGTCTGTAAGAATTTTTGTTTGGCATATCCCGAGCTGCACTGTGACCATTTGATGCCAATTCTGCAGATAAATGTAAAATGGAAGGTAATTTAACATATCAAAACAAGGTACTCATCAGAAATTAGTCAGCATATTAAACAGGGTGGGAGGTGAGCAACAAAGCTAAGTATGCTTCCAAGGAGAGGGATCCATACAATCCATCTGTGAGTGCCAGATTAACGTTCCGATTTGTATCAGTCACTCTTGTTCAATCATATGTTCAGCCTGCAACAGCACTTGTCAAACAATTCCATGTGTTTTAAGAAGTAAATTATTTTAGCAAATTTATAAGTTAGCATCTGGCAATCCACTAGTATTTGTAGTCTAATCAATGTGAGTCTGCTTCTAAAGAATGGGTCTGAATATTGTACCATCAAAGGCTACATTTCTGAGATGATATGGTTGAGGGCTGGCATCAAAATGATTGCATTTTCCTTTTGTAACCTTTTTCATCAAGGAAAACTTAGACAAAATTAGGAGGAAGAAGAGCGAAGAGATTAAAGGGAGCAAGAGGAGGACAAACATGAAAAAAGGAAAATAGCATTGTTTTTCAAACTTCACTACAATAATGGAAGTTATTAAGATATCTGCTATGAACATCACACACAGATTTTTGTTGCTGTTTTCGTTTAAATTCTTAAAACCTAGATTGAGATCATATTATGTGGTAAATGAAGGAAAGCAGTTTAGCTTAGTTAGCAATTCTGGGCCTCAGGCTGATAAGGAAGCGCTCGTGACCTTGACTAGGGTCTGGCTGTCTCCATCCCCGTACATGGGCACAGACCCAAAAACCCCAGCTTACAGTTTCTTTTGTAAATAATTTTGTATTATTTGGCCGGGGCCTGGCCAATGGACTCAGGCCACCATAGCCCCCCTTTTTGTTACAGTAATCCCCTTTGTTACAGTATATAAGCTTGATGCTGAAAATAAAGACAGTGACTTTTCCTGGTGAGCAGACTCACGGTGTCCGTCCTTTTTCCTTTCAGTAAACATATACTTTCACATTAGCAATGACTAAGTTATTCCATCATCCTCAGCTAGTACAAGAATTGTTGGTTTTCTTTTTTAAATCCATTTGAATGAATAAATTGTGGTATCTCATTAGTTTTTTAAGTTGTATTTGTTTCCCAAATGAGAATAATCCTGATGATTATTTTTGATAAAAGATTTATTTATTTATGCATACAACAACTAGGATATAGGTCAGAAGTACAGGGGTAGGAGGTGGTGGGGAGGGAAACAGAACAGGCACATTAAATGAAATACATGGCTGAGGGGAGCAGTGAGCAAGACAGGAAAGGTCTGCTACACCATGAGTGTCACTTCACTAGCCAGGGACTGAACTCATGCTGCAGTGGCTGCAAATGACTTCACAGAGCTATGCTTTATAAACCTTTGTGCCTCCACAGAGGCCTATGATGAACATATTTTTATGTTTATGTGTCATCCATAGCTTCCCTTGAGAAGCATCTATTCAACTCTTTTACTCATTTTTACATTATTTTAAAACATAGATTCAGAGCCTCCCTGGGAGCCTGGGATTAATCCCTCCCTGGAGCAAGGGATTAAGATGAAGGGCTAAGAAGCTATCCAAAGCCAATACCACAAAAATTCAATCCCTGGCCAGGAAACAGATCCACAAGGTGCAGAATTCATCTTCTGTCTCGCCTGCTATTCCCCTCAGCAGTGTATTTCACTAGATCTACCTGTTCTGCTCCTCACTCTGTATCTAGTGAATTGTCTCACTGCCCCTGCACCTCTAGCCTGTACCCAGTTCTGTATGCATACACAACTCTTAAAACAGGCCCCCAAATTTGCCATTTCATTTTCAAACTCAGGAGTGGATATTGGGTTTTGCCAGGTGCTTTTCCATCTAGAAGTGATATGAATGCTTTCATTTATCCTAACATTATTTTGTTAAACTCATTTTTTTCATTAAAATAATTCGTGGGGCCCTCCCTGGTGGCACAGTGGGTTAAAGCACAGCACTAAGAAGCTAAAGCCACTTCCGCATGGGTTCGATTCCGGCCTGCCCGGGAAGAGATCCACATGGCGTGGCAGACCTCTCCTGACCCACCCACTGCTCCCCCTCAGCAGTGTACTTCGTGAATCTGCCTATTCTGCTCCCCATTCTGTCTCTGGTGAATCCTCTCACCCTCCGCATCTCTGGCCTGTACCCCAGTTCTGTACAAATAAATAAATAAATCTTTAAAAATAATAATAATAATTCATATCACATAAAAATCACAAAAAATTAGTTTTCAATATGTCCACAAGATATGCAACAATCACAACTATTCATTTCAGAACATTTTTATCATTCTAAAAATAATTCTTGGAACTTTCAGTAAAATAATCCTATTTATCTAATGCACAATTGATATAGACAATGTCATATTATACTTAAACTTGCTAAGAGATTAGTTATAAAATCCCACTTTGATAAGTTATTTCAATTTGCAAAAAAAAAATAAAATATGCTACATTAAAAAATTCTGATAAAATGTTTAAATTAAAAGAAATCTTGGGGCCTCCCTAATGTTACAAGGAGTTTAAAGCTCCCCACTATGATGCCATCTGCCACTGCAGCACAAATTCAATGAGCAGGCCAGGTAGGTGACCCACATGGCGTAGCAGACCTCTCCTGTCTCACCTACTGCTCTCCTCAGCAGTGTATTTCACTGGATCTGCCTATTCTGCTCCCCAGTCTTTCTCTGGTGAATCCTCTCATCCCCCACACCTTTGGCCTATACCCCAGTTCTTGTATGCATAAATAAATAAAAATAAATCATTTTTAAAAGAATAAGAAATCTTATACTCACTGGTAGTCATCAACTCCTGATTTCTACCAAATGACCCCTATCCTCAATACCCTTTAACCTACTTTGTCTCTAGTATGTGCCTAACTTGGACACTTCATAAATAAAATGTAAATACAAAATATGTGGGGTTTTTTTCTGATGATTTTTTTTTTACTCAGCTTATTTTTATGTTTCCTCCATATTACGCCACAAAAATATTCAATTCTATGGATATACCATATTTTATTATCCACAGAAGTACTTTGGCTTATTTCTGCATTTTTGCTATCATTTGTTATGCATCTATGAACATCCATCTGTGTAAAACTTTTATGTGAAACCATATTTTCCATTCTCTGAGATATATCTAGGGTTTGGCTGAATATTCTGCAATGTTAAACTTGAATGCCAATTATAAATTAAACAAAGTCACAGAGTAATCACTATCCTTTTATTGTTACCAATATTTTGCTTTAAGACCATTACATCTTTGTTGAAGACTGAAAGTAATCTATAATTTTAAATTTTACAGCATAAAATTTTTTGATAAAGTAGCTAGTTACCATATTTAGTATCTTTATGAATTGTGTCAATATTCATTTTCTCTCATTCCTGTAACAAAGTTATGCTGCTTCTTCACTTGAGCAATGCCACAAAAATTTATTTATAGGACTTTAAAAATAACACATAATGTTTGCTTATTCTTTCTATAGTATCTTTGATTCCTAGTTCATTGTTGTTGGCTGTAGACCACATTTGTTTTTTCTAAGATTAATGTTATACGGGTGTTTTATTTTTGGTAATTTATTCATTTTGGGGCTGTAAGTCATTCTGTTTTTATGAATGTCAATATGAGAATGATCAAATCCTTAGAATAGCTCTGCTATATAAATACACCAACTCCTCTCACCCTCTGCATCTCTGGCCTGTACCCCAGTTCTGTATGAATAAATAAATCTTTGAAAAATAAAAAAATAAAATAAACAAATAAATAAATAAATACACCATCTCACAAATACTTACCTTGAATTTCATAAAATAATCCTAAAACATAATGATACAAAAAAATCTGCAAGAGTAATTGTCATCACAAACGTGTCTATCATCTACCACCTTTTATTTTTTAATATAATAAATTATTTTTACATCATTTTGTACTTTTTTCCATCTCAGTTGTAATCCCTGTGAGCTTCCCATCACCAAATCACCCATATGCCATCACCATAGTCCAGTGTACTTCCCAACCCACCCCCATTTTTAATCCCATTCCCCACTCCACCACCACAGAATATCTCTGGTATATAGTTGTTCATTAATATTATTATTTTTCCCCCTGGTCCCTTATGCTCCTGCTAGGAGTGAAACCATCCGGTATTTTTCTTTTTCTTTCTGGCTTATTTCACTAAGCATGATCCCTTCCAGCTCCATCCATGTTACTGCAAAGGCATGAGTTTATCCTTTTTGGTTGCTTAGTACTATTCCATTACTACCATTCTTTTGTGGATCAAATTTTAGTGCCCACTAGGAATGGATACGGTCAATAACTCTTCCACTAGCAAATTCTACATTTCCCTGATCATCACTGTATATTAAGAGCTCAAACCATAACACATCTTTGACAAGGATACTTACCAGTTCTCTCATTTGCACCATTCTGAGCAGCTTCCCAAACCACTGGTTTTGTTCCACAGGAATCTGTAGATGGAGAATCTGGATAGTCTGCAGGATTAAATGTCCTGAAAGTTGAAATAAAACTAAAAATAAATGAAGCATTCACCAAAGTCACAAAATCAGCTGTGCACCAAATAAGCCCTGTCCTTTCCAAGAGCCAGTCTAAGAAACTTTACCCTCCTTCTAGTCAAATATAGCTAATTCTTCTAGACCTTAGAATACAAATCTTCAGAAAAGCAGAGGTCATTGAGGGACCTTCCAAACATTTACTGGTGTATGATGTCTTACTAAATAGCTGTCTCTGCATCCTAAATCATATGTTGAGGTCTCTAATTACCACAGAATAAATGTTCAAATGTACAGTGCCTCTGAAAATTAAGCCCTGGGAACATGTCTTTCCTTATCAAATCATATTCCAAATTTGGCTTTGAAATTCTGACAACAAAATTTGTATAGAAACAAAATGTAAGGGTATCTCTTCATTTATTTTTTTCCCCACTAAAATAAACACCCATGATTCCAAGTCTAAGCCCCCAAATTTTTAAATTTTCCACAGTGGAGTATATTTCCAAACTTTACTAAGGTATGCTAGAACAATAGGAAAATTACTAATCTGTATTTTTTAAAGTAATCAGCAAACTCCACAAAATAGCTTATAGTTGCCAAACTGATATATGTATTTAGTGTTCCTGCCCCTCTACCTTCTACATTTTCACACTTACGATGTCCACAGGGATTTCAAGCCAAGAAAAAAGAAAATGGAAGGAAGTAGATATCCTTGAAGTGACAAAAGGGTCCTTTTACTAAAACCAATTCCCTTCCTTCCTTAGGATCATCTACATACGGTTTCTGCAAGATTGTGAAAATTGGAAGTTTTCTAAAAACTCAGGGGAAGGTGATGCCTAGAAACCGCAAAAAGTAAAAGAACAACCAGCAATAATGCATAAAAAAACTGATCATACCACCTATTAATAAAAGTATGCTCACGCTTCATTACTACAATTCAAGTGAGGAAAGTTATCAGTTTTTACATAAACACTGCATATACCTATTGTATACAGAGGCTGGCTATCCCAACATAACTCTTTATGCAAAGTTTCCAAATACCATGTCTGTGCAACTCCCTCTCAGAGGACAACTGGCAGTCTGGAGACATTTTTGATTGTGACAGTTTGAGGAGGGGTGCTACTGGCATCTACTAGGGAAAAGCTAGAGATGCTGCTAAACATCCTAAATGGAAAGGTACACACCACCCCCCAAAAAACTATTATCCAATCTAACATGTCAACAGAACAAAGGCTAGAAATTCTAGGGCCTATGACAAAACAATGTTAATGGTACTATTCTACTGTTTTTATGACAACATCTGACTTTCCTACACCTACATAAAGTGGCTACAATATTGAGGAAAGGAATCCAGAGTAACAACTAGAGAAAGTAATAATTATAAAATATATTGGGTGAGACTTACCCCATGCCTTGTGTTGAGAATCTTCCTACCCCTCTCCCTCTGCCACGTCCAAACCCTTTAAAAATAAATTCATTAATTAATAATAAATAAATAAAACACAAATACACCTATACCCTACAAAATTAGATTTCCACTTACTGTTCAGCTTATATTCTACCCAAACAATGTGATCATTGTTCCTAAAAGCACCAAAAACACCATCCAGCACACTTGATATTTTTGGTAATCTGCAGTTCCCAAAGATAGAATTACCTAAACAGTTAATGATTTTGAAGGATAGAAAATGACTTAATTCTGCTTGTACAATATTTGTGACACTGCAGTTTAACAAAGGCAATATGCATAAAATACTGTTTTTCTAAAATCAGCTATTGCAAAAATCATGGCATTATAATAATCTACAATAAAAAGAGAAGTAGAAACTGCTAAATAGACTGAAAACACTACTACAAACCATTTTTCATACCCAAATTCTGATCAATAATCAAAATACCAGCAATCAAGCAAAACTACAGAGTTTAACTCTACTTTTTCTTCATGCTGCAATGGCTGTAGATAACTTCACAGTGCTGCACTTTTATCTGTTGAGCCACCAGGGAGGCCCTTTTTTGGTTAACTTTTAAGTGCTCAAATTTATCAGACTGTCTATATTGATGGATAGTCAAATTTCTTTATAATTTCTTTAAAAGTCCACTTTCAGGGTTACAACTGAGATTTAAAAAAATGTACAAAATGATGTAAAAATAGTTATATTATTAAAAAAAAAAAAAGTCCATTTTCAGGGCCCTCCCTGGTGGCGCAGTGGGTTAAAGCACAGCACTAATAAGCTAAAGCTACTTCAGCATGAGTTCGATCCCCAGCCCCAGAAGTGACCCACATGATGTGGCAGACCTCTCCTGACCCACCCGCTGCTCCCCTCAGCAGTGTACTTCATCAGTAGGCCTGTTCTGCTCCCCACTCTGTCTTTGGTGAATCCTCTCACCACCCCTGCACCTCTGGCTTGTACCCCAGCTCTGTATGCATAAATAAATAAATCTTTAAAAAAAAAAAAAAAGTCCACTTTCAAGTTGATGTTATATAAATATTTCCTACTAAATTATGCCATTCCTTTCATTTTCTTTATTCTCTTCTGAATAACCAAGTTTTTATGACTCTAGCTTATTGTGCCCTATGTATACTGGAAATCTTTACCTAACACAACAGCTAACATTTGCCCTGTGTTTTCTTTAGAATCGTTGACATGCAGCCCTCTCTGGTAGCAAAACGGGTTAAAGCACAGCATTTGGAAGCTGGGCCTCTCTGAGGTGTAAATTTGATCCCTGCCCCAGAGGTGATCCACATGGTGCAGCAGACCTTTCCTCACCTGCCCACTGCTCACCTCAGCAGTGTACTTCAACAGTATGCCTGTTCTGCTCCCCACTCTGACTCTGGTGAATCCTCTCACCACCCCTGCACCTCTGGCCTGTACCCCAGTTCTGTACGCATAAATAAATAAATGGTTTAAAAAAGAAGAAATTGCATTCACATTTACAATTATTAGCCAGTTATTATATTCAGCTATTAGTTTGGGAAATTTTTTAATACAATATAGTGTGTGGCATTGAATTGCCTTTGTCCAAAATCTGTGTATTAATTTCTAAACTTGCTAGTATGAAATTGTTTGGTCTCTGTGCTTTTGTCAATTCCATGCTGTCTTGACTACTGTAGCTTTAAAATTAAGTTCTTGAATTCTGATCAATAACCATGGTAGCAATCAAAAATACATAGTTCAACTCTATATTTTCTTTTTTTAATGATTGATATTATTTATGCATCCAAGAATTGGGGTGCAGGCCAGAGGTGTCAGCATTCCCCGGAGACAGAATGGAGAGCAGAATAGGTGAACCCACTGAAATATACTACTAAGGAGAGCAGTGGACAAGACAGGAGGGGCTGCTGGCCATGTGGGTCAGATCCCTGGCTAGGGGTCAAACTCATGCAGCAGTGGCTACTGATAGCTTGGTAGTGCTGGGACTTTAACCCCTGCACCACCAGGGAGGCCCTACCCTCAAATTTTGAAAGTGACTTTACAGTTACTATCAAACTGTACAGAAAATATTTGTTTTTGTATACTGAATTAATGCTTTTCTCCCTCTTGCCTTGTGCTATACTTTGGATACTAAGCAATTAAAATAAAGCTCTACGTACAAAGAACCAACTTTCAAACCCTGCTTAAATATGTCATATAGGCCCTCCCTGGTGATGCAGGAGTGTTAAAGCTCAGCACTGCAAGCTAACCACATCCACTTCAGTGTGAGTTCAATCCCAGGCCCTAGAGGTGACTCACATGGCGCAGCAGACCTCTCCTTTGTCGCCCACTGCTCCCCTCAGCAGTGTACTTTATATATATGCCCCCACTTTGTCTCTGGCGAATCCTTTCACCACCTCTGCACCTCCAGCCTCTACCCCAGTTCTGTATGCATAAATAAACAAATCTTTAAAATAAAATGTCATATCGATATTTCAATAAATAAATAATAATAAAGTTTACTTCAGTCTAACTGGGTTATAAAGAGTAAATCTGAGTAGTATGTTATTCTTTTTTAAAAGAATAAAAGTAAAAGATACTTAAATTTAAAAGTAAAAGATACCTGAATTTGCAATTTTGATGTAGCCATTTCATTTAGAAAGGAAGGAGGCAACAAGGTAGATATGACCAGCTTACTACCCACTGAATGCTTGTGTCCATCTCCCTGAAGAACCCAGTTTTCATAATAAATTAGAACTACCTCAACACTGACCTATCAAGTAAACTGCCTCTCTCTGGCAAAACTAAGTTCTCTTATCTGTAAAATGACAACAGAGGCAGCACAACAAAGCTGTACCAAAAGAAAATGTATATAAATTACAAATAAAATGTCTGCTATATAATAAAGCATCCAGAAATATTAGCTACTATTAATTATTCCACTCAAAGAAAAACATTCCAAGAACAGGTACTTCTGAAGACTCAGGTAATCATCACAAAAACTCATTTCACTGAAGTCCTAGAGGTCCTAGCTGTAACCCACAAAACACTGCCAAAAGCTAAAGGACAATCTTTCCCCAGGGCAGAAAAAATCTGCCACTACAAAATGTCATATAGAGAACCATCGTAACTGCACTGAAGACTGGATTAAAATACAAGTTAATTCCACCTAACCAAAACAAGATCTGCAATTACGTCCTATATCTTGCTTTAATAACAAAGAGGAAATAAATTACATTCTTAGAATTCATTAATAAAATCACAAATTAATAAATACTAAAAAGTGCTAAGTAGGAAATGATGGGGGAGGGGATCAAGCAAATAATTTTAATTGTAAAACCAGTATCACACAAGTACAATACAGAAAATTTAATGACTTTTTAATTAGAGCTACAAAGTTTACTTATATAGAAGTCATTCTCCCTCGTGGCTCAACATTGTGAGGCTGTTTGAAGCCCCTGTAGCACGAGTTCAGTCCTCAGCCAGGTCGCCCACATGGCACAACAGACCTGTCCTGTCTCACCGACTGGTCCCCTCAGCATATAGTTCAGTCAATCTGCCTATTCTATCCGCCCCCCAGCGCCCACCCCCCGGTCTCTGGTAAATCCTCTCACCTGCCCCCGCCTCCCCCAACACTTCTGACCTATACACCCAGTTCTTCCATGCATAAAAAGATTAATCTTTTAAAAATAATAAAAGTCAAACTCGAAGGAGTTGAAATAAGTTTCAAGCCAAACACTTCCCTCATAGTCATCAATAAACAAAAAGATTTCAGAACACTCAATTCTCTGAGTGCACTCCCATGCCTCAGAACTCACTGTAACAACAGTCTACCTTCCTCATTCAATCTCAAACACCTCCATCTCCCTTATTCAGTCTTACCTCTACCTCGGGCTCGCTTGCCTCTGTCTGAAGGCTTTTCACCTTGATTGCAATCAATTCCATTCTCTTCACTTCTAACTAAGGAAGAAAAGAGCACCTCTTGTACATAATCATACTAAAAGCTATTAAATGCAAAAGCAAAAAGACTTAAAATAGATGGAATTTACTCCAAGGATTCAGAAGACAGGAACAAACAAAACCATAGGGAAAAAGCTCAAACATACAATTTGCATTTGATTAATGAGTGAAAATTCCGGAAAAGAAAAATTAATACATGGCATTTTTCCTTCTTCCATTTGTACTTGCCCTCTCCTAAGGAAGTTTTGGTCAGAAAATGACCTTTTTTTATACAACTATGTAACATCAGATTTTGCTTGTCTGGAAGGCACAGAATAGCACCAGAGCAATTCAGTGAAATATTGAGTCCTTGAGAAAATTTGTATTAGAAACAGGTTTTTCCAACATGCTACTCAGAAAATGTAAACATAGTCTTTTTTCCCCTCCTCATCCCTATACCAACATTAAATGACTACATAACACAGAAACTGCATGAGCAATATAGGAATTGCTCTGGCCTGTACCCCAGAAAAATGTCTGGGTCCCCCATTTATTCCGGGGCTTAACTTCCATGAGAGTTAATGTGGCCTATTCTTGACCACTCCATTTAATTTTGCCAAACTCCTCACTATAACCCCTTCTGCCTTATTTTATCTCACATCTACATGAAAATACTTTAATATTTTTAAAAAAATGCTATCTCTCTCACTATTGCATCCATTAGAAGATATGTTCTACTTCCATTAGAAGATATGTTCTAGCAAAGCAAAGATTTCTTTTTGTTTTATTCATTGCTATATGCCTATCAGACTTCCTGCCATAGACTAGCTATTCACTCAATAAATATCTGTGGTAAAAAATAAGCTAGCAAAGAAATCTCTAAGGGATATATTTAATACTTCTATTATATTTATTAATAATTTAGCGACTTTTATGTCTGTAGACAGTATTGAGTAAATGGTACCAAAACCCAGTATAAATGGAAAGTATTGAGAAAAATCTTACCTATTCAAAAACTTTCCTCTTAATCCCTTGCCTATATCATGAGTATCCCTAAGTGGGAAAGAATAAACAGCTTCATCTATCAGTGAATGAAAAAACCTCCTTTAAAATTAGAGGATGCACTTGATTCATAATAGAAAGCAGTTTTTAGAAACAGCACAACTATCTGCCTACTGCCCAGGTCAGTGCTAACACAAAATTGCATTAAGTTAGGAATTCTAATGAACTATATGACTGTACCCTATTGCTAAATGTTAGTTCTAATAACAAATAATGCATTAAAGAAGTAGACTTATAGGTACTAGTTGAGTTTTTCAGTATACACAATTTTTGTAATAAAAAGTCTATACTTACACTCTCTCCCACGATTACCACCTCTTCCTTTCCGGTTGTTTCCACGGCCACGACTCACTTCTCTCTCATTTTTCTTCTCTCTATTCTCTTTATTTTCTGAACCTTCTTTTCCAAAATTCTTCTTCTTCCCCCCTACAGTCTCCCATGAAGTCTACCGAAGATAAGAGTTGTCATTCAGTGTCATTAAGTGTGTCACTCAAGTACAATTGTCAGGGGCGTGCATGTGTCTTGCAAGCCTAATGACCCATGCCTTGCAGCTCACTTGCCTACCATTTTAACTCTTCATTATACTGGGTTGTCAGTAAAGTCATGACACACATTTGCTTGAAAAACATAGAAAACACGTATCATGACTTTTCCATTAACCCATCCGGTAGTTTTACTTTCTGATAATAAAGACAGAAAATCTCTTACTAATCTCTGTTGTACAAAGCACATACAAAGATAGCAACTAGCAGAAATGACAAAATAGTATGTTTTCTTACCAGAGAGCCTTTTCCAATGCTGATATAAGAAATAAATGAAATTTCCCCTATTTCCACCTGCCTCCTTTGTAGAGCTTAAACCTACTAATACATAGATGAACTCAAAGAATATGAAATTGCATAAAATGATACCCAAAGGAACCTAAAAACTTGATAGTAAAACAAAACTTTTTTCTAAGTACCCAAAATTTCAACCTCAAAGACCTGTTCTAATGAGAAGTCAGATGATGGTCTCCTTTCTCTCCCTCTCCTATCAAATCAGAGCTCATTTTATTATATGGGAACCCCCTTCCCCAAAAAAAGCACCAGGAAAGTGTGTTCTTTTTGAATATAAGCATGTGTAAGACTATCTGGGTATTTCACTGGGAAATCCCAAATCTGCCCATTTGTTAGCACTTTAATAATCCATTTATTTACAAAGAATTTGAGTTGATTCAGGCCCAAAAATGAAAATAAGAGCAAAAACTGTATTAAGCTTTACCAAAAGGGGGAAGAGAGGGGAGTGGAGGGGATGCAAGGAAAAAGGACATAACCATATATGTCCAAATAAACATAGCACTGGAAATCAAAGAGATATATCTGAATTACTTCAATAACAGCAAAAGCCAGATTTAAACAGTTTTTTAGAAGCAGTTTTTTTTTTTTTTGGTAGCCACAAATCTTTGATAATCCCATTTAGCTATAATTAAAATGATTAGATATAAAAAACAGAAATTAAAACAAAGCCTATATCTAATCTAAAGAGTTCAAAAATCAGGGGCCCTCCTGCTCTCCCACTCCATCTCTGGTGAATCCTCTCATCCCCTGCACCTCTGGCCTGTACCCCAATTCTTGTATGCATAAATATTTTTAAAAGATTTCAAAAATCAACATCCAATTATATTTGAGAATGCCTGAATAAGCAAGATTCTCAATATTATAAGTAAGAATCTATTCTATCCTTCTGGAAGTCTGTCTGCCTTGTGATTAAAATTAGTTCACAGATCTTGGCCCAACAATTCAACTTCTAGGCCTTTATTCAGAGGAAATAGTGTGATAATTGTATAAACACAAATATAGGCAATCATCAGAAAAATGGGACGAGCTCCCCCAAAATAGCTTAGGAAGATTATCCACCCTAGAACATCCATAAAAGGACAAGTATGTAGTCATGTAAAGAGTTACCCAGATGTATTCAGAAGAGATCCATGATGTAAATGAAGCAAGCTACTGGCAAACATCATGTAAAGTAGGATTATATTTTTTAGTTCAAATAGACTCATGTGCATATAGTGAAGAGTATTTAGTTATCTGAGTAAGGATATTTGACTTAACCTTTTTACCTCTGAATTGCTTTCAGAATTAAAGAAAACAATAAAATGTAGTTATAACAAAAAAAATAATTCAGTGCATTAAATCTATTATGCTCCCTAATTTAAGACAGACAGCTATATAAGATAGAATCTCATTCTCTTAGGTTCTTAAGACAAAAAAGTAAGTACACTAAAGGTACTAAGAAAATAATACACAGCAGAATCAACACAAGTGCATAAATGTACAATTTATAATTATGTTTATGTGGCCAGACCTAACAGTGTTTAGTTCATTATGAAGGAGTACACTTTCTATGGAAAACAATTACAAGAGAAAAAAGTCTCGGTATAATCCATTTCATTCAGGGAAAAAAAACCTTTCAAGCAAGTGTTGGCTTGTGAACTCTTCAAAGACTAACAAAAATTATTGGTGGGGGATAGCAGGGAAAGTGACCCCATTAAGGGGAAACTGGTCTAACATTACAGTACAAGCTAAAGAGAGGGCACTCCCTGGTGGTGCAATGGGTTAAAGTGCAGCACAATGAAGCTAGCCACAGTCAGTTCAGTGTAAGTTCGATACCATGCCAGGGAGATGACCCACAAGGCTCAGCAGACCTCTCCTGTCTCACTTGCTGTTTCCCTCAGCAGTGAACTTAATGTGCCTGTTCTGTTCCCCACTCTGTCTCTGGTGAATCCTCTCACCACCCCCTGCACCTCTGGCCTGTACCCCAGTTTTATATGCATAAACAAATCTTTAAAATAAAGCTAAAGAGAATAACTGTGTATTTTGCACAATGTGCAAGTGTGCTCAGGGGCTATCAATGTGAACAAAATAATTAGTGAAGATTAAAAGAACTTGGGACAACCTTATCTTTGTTATTTGCAGAACAGCTCTTAAATCCTAAAGGCCCCCCTGGTAATACAGCACTAGCAAGCTATCATCAGCCACTACTGCAGGAGTTCCATTCCTAGCCAGGAAGGTGATGTGACCCACATGGCACATCAGAACTCTCCTGTCTTACCCCCTACTCCCCTTAGCAGTGTATTTCACCACCTGTTCTGCTCCCTATTCTGTCTCTGGCAAATCCTCTTAATACCCACACCTGCACAAATAAAAATAAATTATTAATAAAAAAGAATAAAAGAAATTCTAAGAGGAACTATCCTCCAGACACCAAATTGTGTTACCAGAAGGGCAGTTTTTAAGGTCATTTAATTTAAAATCCCTTCCCTACTCTTTCACATTTGCCAGAACTACACAACACAAATTACTAAAAATGGACAATGCACTAATGCAATAAACAGTACATTAATTTGCCACTCAAAACAGCATTACAGTGACATGAAACTTTTAGCACTTCAGATAATGTTCAAATTTGTCTTTGTGACAACTATTCTTACATGAGAAAGACAAACAAACTAGTCCTCAAAAAATCATGGACAATTCCTCTTAACATTTTTTTCAGTCTTAATTTTATTTCAGAACACTGTGGTACAAATAAGGTTAACCAACGGGATAAGATTTGCTTGCTTCCATGACTTACTTTAAATTTTCTTGCTCCTACCAACTTACAGGGTTTACATTCTCTATCTCCAATACTTCAGTTAACTATATTCCAGGCAGGGGAAGATACTCCTTACAAAAGGTTAGCACTAGTTGTAGATAGTAGCCAGGTAAAAAAATGTACCCCCAGAGTGATACTAAACAACCAGGGTTTCAAAAGAACTGTGCCTCTCCATGTCCACCCATATTCCTCTCACCTCCAAACAAGAATATACTTTCTGCATCTGTACAGAAGCATCCATTCATATTCGGGAATTAGATATGGCCCCCACTATGTGCTTTCTAGGTTCAAAAATTAAAAAGGGTTTTGGTGTAACATTCAATCTGAAATCAGTTCCTTTATAGGTTCAGACCCCAGATGAGGCGAGAAAGTTGAAATTTAATGAAACACTGAGAACTATTTTTTTAGACTAATTTGCACCTCTACCACAAAAAAAGAATGAAATCTAAGCAACAGAGGTAGTATCCCAGCTAACCTCTACCACAAAAAAGAAAATAGGCCCTCCAATTAACAATTTACAAATATTTTCATTTATTCACAGTGACTTTTATAAAGAAGGCAGTTGAGGTCTTCAGTTCACTTTGAAAATAACTAACAACAGTTCCACGCTGCATCCATTATTAATGAGGTAAACACAAACACATACCCCATGTTTTATAAAACCCAACAAAAACATGCTTAAAAGTCAGGAAACAAACTATTTTAATTCTTTACTTGACACGATATATTTTCCCAACAAAATGACAAAATGGTCGTATGGACCAACATTATCTTGTGTATGGAATTTTACCCACTGAAACTGCCATTCTGAAACAGTTGAAATATTTTCCCAATTATATGATTTTATAATTACAAAGTGTTTTCTACTTGTTTCATATTAAACATATTATCACAGATACTCATTTTACTTTAGCTTTTCAAGGCAGACCATTTTATACAAGTGTGTGTTCCTATGATGACCTATCCTAAAACGAGAACACTAACAAGAGAGACACGTTTTGACTAGTTCATCTTTGTACTTCTTTGTAGGTCACTTTTTTGTTTTAATCTGCTCTGAAATTGTTTCCTCAATATAAAAATACATGCAATCTCCATGTAGAAATCAAAAAAATCAATCTGACAACTGAATTTAATTGCATTCTTCCTAAAGTAAAGGGATGAGGCTCTAGTTTGCCTGCACATTTCTCAAAGTTTACTAGGCCAAAAGAAAAATTTTTCCCTTATTTTATATATCTATCATACTGTCATGAAACTGTTTCCGTAGAATATTCACACATAAGCAAATAGATATACCAGCAAATCCTGGTTTTCTGTTAGTCTAGAGATATAAGGAGTAGTAAGAAGTGACGACTGAGATGAAGAAACATGAGCAGTGGAGCCAAGAGAAGTTTTTCAGGTGGTGAAAATGTCCACAGGCCCAGAGAATTTTGGAAACTGTGTAAGGCTGGAGTGGATGACCAAGTTCTCTTTCGAGTCTTCAGATTCTACGACTTCATGAAGAAACCATACATAACAAAAACAGTCATTTCAGGTTAGTGTTCTTTCTGGAACTTAAAACAAATATGGAATGGTACCCATAATCCCTTACACCCCCACCCCCAAATAAGGTGAGGTTGAAAATGCAACATGGAATTGGAGACTAATCTTAGCACTGCAAGTCAATTAATTATACTTACCGTGTCTGAATTCCCTTCCAGCAATATATTGATAGCTTTGTTCACATCTCCATTACAGTCGTGTAGGGCCACTATGCACTCATCCTGATTTTTTCCTGTTACTTCCATAAGCTGTCAAAATTATCAGAAAATGTTGGGGGAACCAAAAATTACACTTGATATTAACTTTGGGATTCTATGTAACTATAGAAATAATATAATTCCACATGAAGATGGCCTCTTGCAGACTGAGCTTTCAGTCCATCAGATTTCCCTGGTTTTGCGGCCACTCCATGCCTTTTCACCAATACTGGCAGAATCAAACAATAAATCGACCATGCTTCAAGTTGTCCAAGTGTCATATTAGTAATCATCAGCACACACCTATGTATATCTCACATTCTGAGAATACTCACAATCATCTATCTGACAGCTCAAACATATTAGTTCAATGGCATGGGATTCTCCAAGTTAAGATCCAAATGTTAACTGGGACCATATGTTTCCTAAAGACCTAGTGTATGTAGCCACCTTTAAAGAACATCCATCCAAACACTTTGCACAAGGACAACATTCCCAACATGGAATATCACTGCTTGGAACAGAACATTCCACCTACATTATTATTAAGTTAGAAAATCCTAAGCTCTGAAAACCAAAGTTCTGCAACTATCAAAAGACTTACTTACTCATAGGCATACTTATTTTTTCTCCTAAAGGAGCTTTAATGGGATGCTCTGTTAGAAGCAATCAAGGAGATATCCTTAGGAAACTAAACTACTTAACATTTTAATCACTAATAACAATCACAGATTAGGCACAATACAGGTCTCTCAATTATAAATGAACAAATGCATGATTTTAACTATTGGTTGTATTTTAAGTATTTCAGTATGTACTAGCTGCAGATCTAAATGTTGGAGTCCTATCTCCTAACATTTAAAGTGACTTTTCTGTGGTCACAAAACTAATAAGTCCATTCATCTCCTTGTAGTGTTTGTTGCACTACGCCATTCTCTCTCTCTGACTTTCATTCTTTATTACAAACCAAAAGTGCCAGACACTCCACAGCTTTCCAGACTTCAATCTTTGGATATGTACAAATAATGTCAGGGTGTCATCAAGGCTATATATTAGGCAAATACTATCAAGAATTATTAAGATGCAAGTCAGCATCAAGTTTCCCCAAAAATAAAATTAGAAAGATACAGAATTAAAGTCAAACCATAAAGAGTTTGAACCCCCAGAACAATACTCTTTATTGTATATCTACTAATCTATTTGGAGCAAGGATAATATATGCAGGGGGAAAGTGTGACTCAATCTGTAGATAGGCCTCATACCAAAGAATTAGTTTATGTAATATTTAGTAAGTCACATATGTGGCCTTAAAAAAGTATTACCACGGGCCTTCCCTGGTGGTGCAATGAGTTAGGACACAGCACTGGAAGTTGGACGCAGCCGCTTTAGTGCGAGTTCGATCCCCAGCCCTGGAGGTGATCCACATGGCACAGCAAACCTCCCAGCTGCTCCCCTCAGCAGTGTACTTCATCTTTCTGCCTGTTCCGCTCCCCACTCTGTCTTTGGTGAATCCTCTCACTGGCCCTGTACCTTTGGTCTGTACCCCAGTTCTGTATATCTAAATAAATAAATGAATCTTTAAAAAAAAAAAGAAAAGACAGTTTATTAAAAAAAAAAATTTTTTTTTAACCACTAGCCCAGGGACAGCAACAGTAACAACAAAGAATTTACATAGAAAAGGGTACCATGGCCCTCCCTGGTGGCACAACAGATTAAAGCACAGCATTATGAAGCTCTCCACAGCCACTACAATACAGTGGGGAGCCTGTTCTGCTCCCCACTCTGTCTCTGGTGAATCCTCTCACAGCCCGAACCTCTGCCCTGTACCCCAGTTATTGTATATATAAATAATTTTTTTTAAAAAGTGGGGGAAGCACTATAGGACAAATACTAAATACCGTATATTTAGTGTAAATTTTGTATACACAAATATAGACAATGTCAATGTGCCTTCACACATGTCCAGCTCAGTGTACACAAATGACATTGTTAACTCACAAGGAACCTATTGCAAGGATCCTATCTTCACTGTAGATACCGATGAAGTTAATTTAATCACAACTCAAAATTCAATTAGTTTTTCCTAAGAAAGAAACACACTTTAAAATCTCTATTTAGGCCCTCCCTGGTGGCGCAGCGGGTTAAAGCACTGCACTGAGAATCTAAAGCCGCTTCCACATGAGTTCGATTCCCGCCTGCCCCGGAGGTGACCATATGGCGAGGCAGACCTCTCCTGGCCCGCCCGCTGCTCCCCTCGGCAGTGTACTTCGTCGATCTGCCTGTTCTGCTCCCTGCTCTGTCTCTGGTGAATCCTCTCACCCTCCGCATCTCTGGCCTGTACCCCAGTTCTGTACGAATAAATAAATCTTTAAAAAAAAAAAAAAAAAATTTAAAAAAAAAAAAAAAATCTCTATTTAATGCCCTCCCTGGAAGTGCAGTGGAACACAATGCAGCACTGAGATGCTAGCTGCAGCCGCTTCAGCACAAGTTCAGGGAGGTGACCCACATGGCGCAGCAGACTTTTGTCTCACACAATTTTCCCCTTAGCAGTCAGTGTACTTCGTCAATCTGCCTGCTCTGCTCCCCACTCTGTCTCTGGTAATTCCTACTGCCCCTGCACCTCTGGCCTGTACCCCAGTTCTGTATGCCTAAGTAGTCTCAAAAAAAAAAAAAAAAAAACAATTATTTTGTTACTTCCTAAGAATAAATTACAAAAATAATAATGTCCTTTGCCAGAAACATACCTGTTTAACTTTACCTTCAAATTCTGCATCATTTTTATCAAAGATCACTTGAGCAAGACGCATCTGTTCAGCTGTTGCCTGGAAAGCACAGAAAACTATTTTAAGATTTAAGTACCCAAAACATCAGGTGTCAAAATAAATAAGAGCTCTCAAGCAGTACAGCATGACAATAAGAGAAATACTGATTAATCAAAAATAAAGGACCCTTTAAGTCTTTCAAATACATATATCCTATCCCCAGAAAATATATCAGTATTAAATCATATAAAGGTCCCGTTCTTGCTCATCTCACTGCCAATGTGACTCATTTGTATTTTCTTTCCTTGGGAAATGGAAGGATGAGCAAAAGAGTGGAAAAAACAATATTCAGGATACAGGGTTAGGTTCAATCATAGATCTAGGGAAAAAGAAAAAGGAGGGGGAAAACCCTAAAAAACTTTCAAACACTAAAATTAATCTGAAGAAAACACTTTGTGGTGTTTTTTTTTCCCCACCAAAATCCTTTTTTAAAGAGAAGTTTCCTAACTTTGATAAAGGTACAATGATTATGACTGCAAGGAAAGTAGGTAAGGGGTATGCAAAAATGTACTCTTTGTGCAACCTCCAGACTAAAAGTACTCTTCAGAATTTTCCTAAATTATCCTTATTAGCTAAAGTTTATCATAATATTGTCATAAATATCAGAAAACTAAAGCTTAATTTATTGAATGATCTTAAAGAAAAAAAAATACCCAGTAGGATCTAAAAGTGAGTAACTTTTCTTCCCAACTCTTAAACCTTATTTGTTTCAAATAATCTCAAGTGGGGGAAGCAGGGAAGGAATGTTTGCTAGTATTTGTTGCATTGCAAAAATACTTTTCCGAAGGGCTTTCCAATCCATGTGGGTGAGAGACTACACAAAGTACTCTAGTAGCTCTGGCCTGTCACCTCCAACTAACTGCCAATTCAATCTTCCTTCCAAACTAATCCTACCATGACCTCTTAATGAACTGCTACAATTTTACCTCATTAAAGCCAAAAAAAAAAAAGTTTGCAAAAACTCCTTATCTATACATATTGCCAACATCACCTCAATACTATACAACAGCATATATATATAGAGAGAGAGAGAGAGAGAGAGAGAGAGCGCTAGCTAGCTAGCTAGTCACAAGGCCCTCATATATATTCTCACTATACCTATCTGCACATCAAACATTTTCCTGACCCATAACCAACTGAGAAGTCCCAGTGCTGCAGCCAAAAGGACCAAAGGTATAAACTAACTAGATGAGGCAAAATGAAAAAGCAAAGGGGTGATGAGCTCTAGAAATATGGCTTTTCCACATTATACATTTGGGTTTAGAGTAATGTCAACTTTTTATTAATTAAACTAAACTATTGGGGCCTGTAATGATGAAAGCCTACATGAGGGATGTTTGCCCATTTTCCTTAATACTAATATTTTCCATTTCCTTACCAATATTTTCCACTTCCTAAGTCTCAAATCTAAAAATTATATCCTGTATTCAGCCTTCTTCTATCCAAGCACCACTAATACTCATCACTTTGCACAATTAAATTTCATTAAGATTGTTGCTCCACCAACAGTGTAAGAGAGACTGCTTGCTCAAAATCTTCCCAACTTTTAAAAGACCAATGTAATTAATGAATAGGTCCCTGTTTGCCTTAGGTTTTATTCTGAACATGTGATGGGTCTATACTGAAGAGAAAATGTTCTTTAAAAAGGACATCACTGGAGGGCCCTCCCTGGTGGCACAGCGGGTTAAAGCACAGCACTGAGAATCTAAAGCCGCTTCCGCATGGGTTCGATTCCCGCCTGCCCCGGAGGTGACCACATGGCAGGCAGACCTCTCCTGACCTGCCTGCTGGTCCCCTCAGCAGTGTACTTCATCGATCTGCCTGTTCTGTTCCCCACTCTTTCTCTAGTGAAGAGAAAGAGTGCCCCTGAGCCTCTGGCCTGTACCCCAGTTCTGTATGCACAAATAAATAAATCTTTAAAAAAAAAAGGACATCACTGGAAAAACTGACATTATTGAAATGAATATAGAGGAAAAAATGGAATGAACTGTAAAGAACACTGTTGCAATGTTAAATTTATAAAATTTGATAGAACTATGTCTGTACATAGAAACATCTATGTTTACAGCAGGTATACACAAAGGGCAAAAGGACAAAATGGATTTACTTAGTAAACTCAAATAGTGCAGAATAGCACGTTTTTCTATACATAGACATTAAAAATAAAGAAAATAAGTGACAAGATGTTAACAGTTTGTTAAGAGGATAAGAGTTCTCTAAAATACTCCTGCAAGATTTCAGTAAAGCCAAAACCCCATTAGTGATAATATACAACAAAATTAGGTGAGACAAGTTATGTATCACATTTCTGAAAATACAAACTTGAAAAAAATACCCACAGATGTACATGTTATCAATGTGTGTGTGCCTTGAGAAGAAAATAGAGGCAGTATCTGACTGGTCTAACCAGAAAAACCTAAGTAGCAAAAAGGAATTCATTAGAACAGTGAAGTGGACCAAGAAGCTGGCTGGCACTATAGGATTTTGACAAGTCCAACATTAGTAAGTTAAATGTCCTGTGGAAATGTTTATAGAGGTTTGGGTAGTAACAATCATAAACAAAACTAACCATGTAGTAATCCCAGAAAGAGAAACTATTGGGAGCAGAATAAAAACTGAGTGATAGAGGAAAGAAAAACAAAAACCAGGGGACTCCCTGGTAGTGTAGGGGATAAGTCTCAGTGCCATCACCTGTATAGCCTATGTTCACTCCCTCCACCCTCTTACCAAGGAGCTGACCCACAGATGGTACAGCAAATCTCTCCTGTCTCGCTCTCTGCTCCCCTTAGCAGAGAGCATGGAGCAGAGAGCATGTCTGATCTAAAACTCACTTCTTGTACATATAAATAAATCTTGGAAAGATAGGAAATAAAAAGGAAAACAAAGGTCATGCTGTAGAAATAAAGTGAGGAAGTCTCAGAAAACAAGCCATCATAATATACAAAGAAAAATCACTCTGAAATTAGAAAGCTAACTATGAGCCATGTTGCCTTCTAAAAGCCTAAGAAAACTTATTTCACATGAAAATGATCAGTAGAAAAAATAAAGGTCAAATCACAAAAAGCTATTATAAGAAATGTTTTCATTATTGCTAATGAAAACCTATTCAAAAGTTGCCCAGAGGAGAAAGCAGAACTATATCAACTTCTGTTTCAATATATTCAAAGAAAGTAAGAATAAAATTATGTAACATAAAGGTAACATATATCTAAGATTTTCTAATTCAAAAATGAAACAAAGATTAAAAGAAATGTTTTTTGGGTTTTTTTTTTTAATTCGTTTTTTAAAAGATTTATGCATACAAGAACTGGGGTAGACGCCAGAGGTGCAGGGCATGAGAGGATTCACCACAGACAAGAGTGGGGAGCAGAGCAGGCAGATGAACTGGAATACACTGCTGAGACAGGAGAGGTCTGCTGCACAATGTGGGTTAGCTCCCTGGCCCATTGGTTGCAGATAGCTTCATGTTCCCTTGCATCACCAGGGAGGTCTTAAGAGATTTATTTTTATTTATTTAAGCATATAAGAACTAAGGTGTAAATAGGAGGTACAAGGGGGTAAGAGGATTCACCAGAGACAGAGTGGGGAGAACAGGTAAGTACTAATGATAAATAGTAAGCATATACATATTGTAGAAAAACAAAATGATGGCTAAAAGGGATAAAGCATTCAATTAATGGGTATGTAGAGTGTTAAAGGCTATACATGAAAGCAGTAGAATGCCAACTTATCCTTCAGACTTGATTTTGGCTGCCACATCACTTTTTTTACTTCAGTGCTTGCTCTGTGAGGTCAAATAGGCTTTTAAGACTACAAGTTGAGTTGGTCTTATATTAAAATTACCATAGGGGTAAACCAAGTAGTGACTGCCACAGAAGACAGTAGATGACACTCTTTTTTTAAGTATTTATTAATGCATACAAGAACAGGGTACAAGCCAGAGGTGTGGGGGATGAGGAATGAGAGAATTCACCAGAGTGGAGAGCAGAACAGGCAGATCCACTGAAATACACTGCTGAGGGGAGCAGCGGGCAAGGCAAGAGATGTCTGCTGAACCGTATGGGTCAGCTCCCTAGCAGGGGATCAAACTCATGAAGCAGTGTCTTTGAATAGCTTCACAGTGCTGTACTTTAACCCCTTATGCCACCAAGGAAGCCCAGATGATATTACTGAACTCCAGCAATGATAAATTTATTCTAAATAATCAAAAACCCTGACTGTGTAGGACCTCCCTACACAGGGCACAGGGGTTAAAGACAACACTATCAAGCTATCACCAAGGTTTTTTGTTTGTTTTAAAGATTTACTTTATCAAGCTATTACCATATTATCATAGCTTGATAAAGTAAATCTTTAAAACAAACAAAAAACCCTGACTGTGTAATGGATTACACTGCAAAACAGACTGTGGTTCCCAATTAGAGACACATTATGAGAAAGCAGGCAATAAAAGCAAGGGTGGGGGCCTCCCTGGTGGCACAAAGGGTTAAGTCTTAACACTCTTAACACTAAGAAGTTGTCACCAGCCACTGACTGCAGCATGAGTCTGATCCCCTGCCACCACTTAGCACAGCTGACCTCTCCTGTCTTGCCTGCTGCTCCCCTCAACACTGTAGTTCAGTAGATCCGCCTATTCTGCTCCCCACTCCGTCTCTGGTGAATCTACTCGTATCCCTGGTGATGAATACCCCTGTTATCTCTGGTCTGTACCCCAGTTTTTGTAAGCATAAATAAATCCTCAAAAAAAAATGTTACTTTAAATATTCAATAAACAAAGCACCAGCATAAAGCATAAGAAAGGTAAGCTGCCAAACTGAGTTCTAGGAAGAGTCCAAGAGGTCTGCACAGCTTATAGAGCAAAAAGTAGAACCAAGGTTAAACAAGGGCAGAATACCCATGTCCTATGATAAACCAAATGGAAAAGTAAATGCCACACTCCATTTTACATTTTTTAAGCTGGAGTTTATAAGCGTTTACATAGAGAAACACCACTTTAACCACATGACTAAATTAAATACCCGTATACAGGCCAGACCTATACCCTGTGCATCATGATATGATACATAAAAACAGACTACACTTCTGTCATTTTTTTTTTTGCCAAAAGTAGCACGTAACAATCATGTGGAAATATCAGATAAGCTGAAATTGGGAGATATCCTATAAACACCTGGTCTACCTTCAGATACATCACATCATAATGTTATATCGCAGGTGGGAAACTTAGACACCAGTGCTAACAAGAAGCAGGTTTAAGTGCATTGATATTGATACTGACTTAGCAGATTCACATCCAAAGGCCAACCCTTGTTTGCAGGAAAGTCAGGAGCTTAAATACACACTCAGTTTCTACAAGGTTCCAGGTGGGTTTGCATTGGCAGCTATACATGGTCAGATATGACGTGGCTACCAACTAAGAGGTGAGTAAGATAGCTGCATACCAAGGAGTGAGTAGAGGATGAGTAGTCATCCCCCTGCCCCGGTCCATTCTGCCTCGTGGTCTAACATAAAGCAGGGTTCATATGAACAACTAAGTTACATACAAGGAACTAAGATGCTCCAGGCTGCTTATCTCAAGTCACCATGCTTCAAAATACAGAGAAGATCCCACATTAAATAAGACTAATGTATACTATGTATAAATATGGACTTAATAAGTTTCATCAACATTATTAGGACAATCAGGGAAATATGAACATCATCAGTAGAATACATAATGATTTGATTCTCTGACTTCTGAAAACTGTACCATGATTATGTGAGAGAAGGCCACTAAACATACAGTAACATTTAAGGGTAAATACATCACATCTGTAACTCATTCTCTAACAATTTCAGGGGAAATCTGTATCATTACTCCTTTGTAGGAAAGAAAAAAGGATAAAGTAAACAGAGTAAAGGTAGTTAATATACAGGGGATGAGCATGAAGGATAATCAGGAATTATGTAACTAGTCTTAACTTTTTCTTTAGGGCCCTTCCTGGAGGCGCAAGGGGCTAAAAGCACAGCACTATGAAGCTACCTGCTGCCACACAAGTTCAATCCCCGGCCAGGGAGCTGACCTACATGGCACAGCAGACCTCTCCAGTCTTGCCCACTGCTCCCCTCAGCAGTGTATTTCAATAAACACCCCTATTCTGCTCCCCACTCTGTCTCTGGTGAATCCTCTCAACCCCTGCACCTCAGGCCTGTACCCCAGTTCTTGTGTGAATAAAACTTTAAAAATACCTTTTTCTGTAACTCTCAATACATGTTTTTAAAAACTGAGTGTCAGTTGATAAAGTGGCAAACCCAGAATACAGATCCAATTTTACTCAGATTCCAAAGCACTCACTGTCTTCTTTTTACAATATTGCTACCTACCAGTGGAGGTTTAGAAATGGGGAATTATCTTTGGGAATTCTTCCCTAATCTCCAGTTTAAGGTGCCTCCAATAAGAAATTCCCAGAATGATTAAAAGATAAATGAACATAAACAATTTTTCTAAAATATAATACTGCTTTTTTGAGAATTTTTCACAATTCTCTTACCTAAAAATAGTAAGGACCTAAGAATCTAGGATTCCTCTCCACAGCTCAGGGAGCAATTTTTTCTTCTAATGAGAAAATGAATTATCCCTAAAGAGCCCATGGAAAAACTACTAGCATCTCTGACTCTCTAGAACAGTAAACCTAAGGAATTTATTTGGGAGCAAGATGGAGACAGACATGTCATCAGAAGTTGACATGTTTAATCTTTATTGATTTTATTAAAAAGTGACTTTATGGCCCTCCCTGGTGACGCAGCGGGTTAAAGCACAGCACTGAGAAGCTAAAGCCACTTCCGCATTAGTTTGATTCCTGCCTGCCCCGGAGGTGACCACATGGCGGGCAGACCTCTCCTGACCC